TTGTATCGTTATGTAATCTTCCCCCCCCCCCCCAAAAGCAGCAAGTGCTGGTGTTACTGCTGTGTATTGGTTGTAGTGGCTGTGGGGTTGAGCTGACTGCTGCTTCAGGACAAATAGCATCTGATTCTGTGTCTCTTCTCTTCCAGGAAACACCCAACTCTGTTTTCCTGGTCATGGAGGTATGTATAGAAACGTGTCTGTCTGGATATTTGATGAGTCACAGCTCGTATCCTCTTCTCAAGTGTTGTCACATGTGTTTGGGAAAAACTTGTTTTCGTTGTAACTTGTTACATAAATGATGTCTGTCAGCATGTGTTCGTCCCCCTTTGGCAGGCCTCTGTCCTGTCGCCCCCCTCCCTGTCAGCCTCTCATCCTCTGCTCTTTTTTGTAACAATAAAGACGTGTCAATAATTTCTCTCTTAGTTTGCTCACAACCTCACACCTGCATCCTCCCCGACTCTCTCTGCTCATTTCGCAACACCAAAACAAACTGACTGCACCTTAAGTTCCTCACTGAAAACACGGCCCTCTGTTTTCTAGGAATCCTATTCCCTGAAAACCTTAAAATCTTGTTTTTATCTATGTTAACATAGCTCTACTCTATACTCCATCAATAATCCTTTGGGATCTTGTGTGTCTGGATCAGCTGTCAATGGATCAGCTCCTCACAGTTCCAAAAAATAATTTCCAAAATGGGTGTTATTTGGGTAATGCCATATGGAGAATCTAAAAGGTTACTGTCTTGCCTTAAAAACTGTAGAAGTGTAAAAGTAAAGGGTAAAGGATAAAGCTGGCGACGCCAAGCAAGGGAATCGCACTTCTGCTCTGAAACGGAAAACCGATTTTTAAAAAAACAAAAAAAAAGACCCAGTGCTGAAGCGCCCTAGTTCAGGCAAAGAATAAACTCAATCAGACAGCACTCTCCACCACCATCAGCAAAACACTAAATGAGGTCATATATCTTGGAAGGATGCTGTTCATCCCTCTAGTAGAGTTCTGACGTGGGCTTTATATTGCTTTTCCTTTCACATGTCCCCCGTTAGTACAGGAAGTTCACCTCAGAATCAGGGACCAGGGTGAAGTAAACAGGGTTACACTGAGCAGAAGGGGACTATAGCTTAATTCAGCCTCTCATCTTTGCTTACCCACTCACTCTCTCTTACCCTTCTACACCAATGCCGTTCATCAGTTCTTGTCGTTCCTCTTGAGAACTGACTGCACTCTAGCACAGATAAAGCTACAGTCTTTCACTAGATGAATTGATGAGCCTGCCATTACCTGGGCTAGGATTAGAACTAACACAGACGCACTCAAACACACACGCATGCATAAGACCAAACTTCACAGCTTGACATTGTTGAACCTGAATTTAGTTATGGCTGATAGCGATGTTTGTCTCCCCACACAGTACTGTAACGGAGGTGATCTTGCCGACTATCTGCAAGGTAAGCATCACACTAATCTGTCTGCCGAACACACATTTGTTTTTCATCAAAACAAAGTCACTCCTGCTGCAGAGGAGGAAAAGCCATGTGACTGCAGCTATTGTGAGCTGATGTGTGCATTTATTTTCTATGTGTGATGGATAGTTTGTAGAATACTGTAACTCTGTATCATGTGGGATATTACTGTGTGTCTGAGTGGATATTTGTATGTTTCTGTGTGGGGGAGGTGAGTGTGGGAACCACTACAGCTTTTTACAAAGGCTTCCTTCTCTGTTTCAGAGCCAGACAACACAGTATTTGTGCCTCTGTGATAGTCTATAACAAAGGTCAGCATTTCTAGTCATACAGCAACAAGTCTGCTTAAGCTGAAATTAAATATAATGCACATTGGAAGTTGTGTTTTGCATATTTCAGAGCCGACCAATCGTCAATCATTAAAAATCAAGAACAGTAGGCAATCCAGATCGCTTGCCAACAGTACAGTCCTCAAGGCCGAGTGATGGCCCCCGTTACTTTACTGTTTCAACCACTAGGTTTGCATTACCACTGGAGTCTAGCCATCTTTTTGCTGTCAGTGACATCATGGGTGTAGGGTGTCTCATTCTGAGGCTACATCCATACTACTCCGTTTCTATTTGGAAGCAGATTTGTCAAATAGACATGATCTCCGTCCACACGGGCGTTTCAGCATCATTCTCGAGTTGATCTGCATCCACACGGCAACCTTCGAAGGCGGACAGCACGTGACCATTAACGTACACTGGGCATGCGCGTGACGGTGTAAACAGGAAGTGGATTGGTTGCTTCGTTTAAAAAAATACGACAGAGTAATAAAGTAGTCTTTAATAATGAAAGGTTGTATTTGATACTTAAGATCTTCCTCTAAAATATTCCTCTATAAACTCAAACAGACAGTTCGTGGAAAGTTTTTTAGAAGTTTTATTTTTCAGACTTGGACCCGCAGCGCTGCGGGTCTTTCTCTCCCTCTCACATCAACTTTACTTTAAAATCAACACTTACACGTAAACGTTTACTAGATTATGGGTCCATCAATGTGGTCAACACATGTCTGTCACACGTCTCTCACTCTATTCTGCTCTTGCTTCGTGCAGGAAAGCTTAGCAGATCGCTAACAGTAGATCCGTGAAATAAAGACCATGGAATCCACAGAAGAGTTTCAAGACTTTAGTGTGAATCTTTCTTATTTGTAAAACTGTGGAAACAATATGAAATATGGCTTTACAAACTGTCCATATACACATATGTACATGAATACAAAACAATCCATGTTATAGCCAGCATGTAACATGTCAGACTAGCTAGCTTCTAAGCTAATTTTAACATTACTGCCAATGGAGAAATGCTAACCGCGATTAGCACTAATGTTCTACTAAAAGAGCGAATAGAATATATCTACGTAAATCTTTTCATGCTTCATAAATACATACTTACAGACTAAGGTCTCTCAAGGCTACCAAACAGAAGAAGTAAAACGTTAGTGCAGCATGTCTTCTCATTAGAATATACGCGCGTCGTGAACACTTCCCGGCCATTTCACAACAACGTCCATGAAACAGTATTTGTAGTCACACACGGCCTGTACATTCAAAGAATGTTTCGCCTTTCTGTTGATGTAGTCTGTAGAGTTAGCACGTGGTTGTTTCACTTCGATATGTGTACAGTCAATGGCCCCCAAGCATTGTGGCATACCGTGTGTTTCGAAGAAGTTGACCACAAGGTCCCTCACTTCCGGCTCGATACTCGGTTTCCGGATGTACTTGGGACCCAGGAAGACGGTGATGGCCCTACAGACTTGTCGGTTGATGACTGAAACAACTTGTCGAGATAGTCCAAATGCATTAGCGGTTTTCCGGAGTCTGCCCTCGTCACTCAGGTAATACAACGTGCACGCTACCTTTTGTAAGTACGTCCACGGGTGCCCTCATCGTGGTTGTTGCTCCCTCCACATGCGGACATAACATTTCGCTAAGGTTGATCAATGCCAATCTGGACATTCGAAAGTTTTCTCGCCATTCTTCGGAAATCATAACTTCATTGATGAAATTATTCCACTAGGCGCACGTTCTTCCTGGCCTCACCCAAAACCGGCGCTCCATGTACGGCCGATAACGCCTCTGGACTCGGGAATTGTCGCTCATCGCTCGAAGAATAGCTTGCCTCCTCCGCCTGTAGGCAGTAGCAGCATTGTAAAATGACGAATTTAACTCCACAATTGCTGCTAGTACAGACAACAACGCAAGCAAGGCTTGCCATTCGTTATCCATGTTGAAATGAATCGCTGGTCGCCCTGCCTGTTTATTTTCTTCTGGGTACGGGTCACGTGATAGTGAGTGTGACGAATCAGGGACGGAGACGTCATGGTTGCTAAGAACCAATCCAGTAGCGAACACGGGTGTGGGCGTAATTTTTTCTAAACGCATCAGTTTCTGACCGTCCACACTGAAACGCAACCCCGGAGTTTTCAAACACCTCCAACCTCGGGGGTGTTTTCAGACTCCTCCATTTAGGGTGCTCCAAAACTCCGGCGTAGTGTGGCTGCTCAGTGTAAACGTGGCAAAACATATGTGTTTCCAAACAAAAACGGAGTAATGTGGACATGGCCTGAGAGCTTGGGTCTGAATTTGCAAGCGATATCCAAATTTCGTATGCAGTGTAGATGACAGTAATTGACCCTTTTTACAGTCGATGTCATCAAAAATAGGCACGCACGTTTGCAACAGAAGTGGCGTTTTGCCCCATCAGCCATCCAGACGAGCCAGCAAGCTTTAAACATTAAAGTAAAACTGTTACCAGCATCAACATGTCTGGTTGTTGCATGTTCGGTTGTAGGAATCGATATTGCAACAGCGGACTCATGTTCTACAGAATTCAGACAGGATCACAACCGTTTAAGAGCAACAGGTGTTTCGGTTAAACAAGTGAACTTGTTAACTGGTGACTTTCAGCCTGTGGTTGCTCGTTGCAACCTTTCTAGATGGTTGGCGTAGATAATAAACTCAGATCAATATGTATTTGAAATTGATAGAAAGCTTTTACCACGACACACATGTTCTATTTTTGTTAACAGCTTCAGTCAGTACGAGCAACTACCAATGCATTAGGCTGAGAGTCTATGGCTGCAAAGATGTTTGCGTTTGTGTTTGCCATTTTTAAACTCAAACGTAAAACTCTGAGTCTCTTTCATGGTATTTGACGTTGTATACATGACCACAGATAACGTGATCCAAAGCATGTAGTGACCTGTATGCTCGTTGTTTCTCGCGGGTGTAACGTTACACGCTAGGTTAATATATTCTATCCACTCACCAATAGCACACAGCTCTAGAATGTTCCGTTGTTTAGGTTGCATGAGCAGTCTTTGGTGGTTACTGCCCTTGTGTAGCTTGACAAGCCGTTGCACTGCGACGTACTTCTGTTGCTAAACTGCATGCACACAATTGCATACGTCATCATTGTTCACAATCTGCAAAAGGCTCTATTAAATCCATGTCTCTTATAATCCTCGGAGTGAATGACATTCCTGATTTGGTCAACCATAGGATTAAATACACTTATATGCAGTCCTTTTAAACAGACATTAAAGGAAACAGTGTTTAAAGATCACTACCATAATAACTTAAATACTATGCTGCAATGCCATCGAGGCAACACAACACTAACTGTTGTTATCGATAAATACCTGTTGCACTTTAATGATCAGCATAAATGAGCTCGTAGGGTTCATTCTTGACCATAGAAATGGAGATTGACTGAAAAATCTTAACTCAAGTTTAACTTACTGGATTTCTTCCAGAGTTTTTAGCTGCAGCCCTTTCCTGCCACATCACATGTGGTGAAATCTCAGGAGGAACTCCAGCAAGTGGACTTTGACTGAAAGTCTTTATAGTTGCTGTACAATAGCCACAATGCACATGATCTTTCATTGGGACACTAAACTGAACAGTTCTCCCGAACACCTCTGGGTCTCTGTTACCCAGTCTCCTGTCCCAGCATTTGAGCTTCAGAACGAGAACTCACCACACACTCGCTGCACACTCACAATGTTGTGAATAGTTTCATAGAGTTGAAATCAGTTTGGCTCCTGGAATCTCATATCCCTCCAAATGAATGGCAGTCTGCCAATACACCTGTTAGATAACCCCAGGTGTTTACCCCTCTGTTCTGTACAGCCTGATTGTGTTGCTGGAACAGCTCCCTCATTGGTCTACTTTTGCATAATGTACCTGCCCCACATGTACAAACTTGCTGGTTACAAAATGGGTCACGCTCAGACCTGTTGGTGACAGGGGGGTCCACGAGTCTTGAGTATTACTGAACAACTCCTACGACCCCACAGCTGTCATAACCACCAGTGTTACTCTGCTCTGGAGACCCAACTGGCTGCTGGTCTTGAACTCGTTAGTCATTGTGACTGCGGTCTCATCAGTGGAGGGCTTCTGTGTTCATTTCACATGTTTCACCAAGTCTGTGAAGAATGTGTAGGTAACGGCCATCTTCCATTAAGTAAGAGGATGTCACTATTAGTTGGTCCACTGTGGTGGGCAGAGAGCCGCAAACCCCCAAATCCTAGATTAATGTTGGTAAGCTTACTGGTTTGATCCATGGCTGCACTGTAATCACAATGACTTGATAGAGTGAGAGGGAGAGAGAGGAATCCTCTTAGTCTCACACTGGATTGGATTTATTTCACTACCACCAGGGAATAGGACCTTCACTGCCTCAATTTACTCCGTTTACCTAAGGATTATTACTATAATATGCCAATTATTATCTTAAATCAAGTGAGGCTGATTGTGGAATTATGGAGTTTTGGATAATGCAGTTTTTTATGCCTCCATGCCAGCTACAGACGTGGCCAGAGACGTTGTGTTTTCAGGTTGTTAATCTGTCTGTCCGTCCATCCATTCCATTTCGGTGAACGTGGTATTTCAGGAACGCCTGGAGGGAATTTCTTCCAAATTTGGCACAAACGTCCCATCAACTCAATGATGGACCGATTAGGATTCATACACTAATTATTACAATTTCACACAAATATTTAAAAGGATAAAATGACAAAAGGATGACACTTTGGACGGACATGGATGTAAACTGCAACGTGAGGAGTCACTCTAATTTAATTGTATTAAATCTTGCATCATGTGAGTACAAATCAAGGAAACCAGTCATTCATGTGCTTCATGAGGCAGCAGGAAGCACCTGAATGGTCATCATTAAGACGGTTATCCAGGGAAACAAAAGGCAAGAAAGTGCATCATAATGAGCTGGTTTACTTAAAGGTGCCCTGTGGAGTTTTCTTGTAAACAAACAAAAGTTGTTTACATTCACTAATCATCATTTCTTTATCTCTCCTCTTCTTTAGCAAAGGGGACTCTGAGAGAAGACACACTGAGGGTTTTCCTCCAGCAGATTGCTGCTGCCATGCGCATCCTCAACAGCAAAGGAATCATCCACCGGGACCTGAAACCGCAGAACATCCTGCTGTCATATGTGGGTCGCAAGAAGTCCAACATCAGTGGCATCCGCATCAAAATAGGTGACCGAATTAGATAGAAAAAGTCCTTTCATAACTGTGTCAGAGGGCTGAAGTAAAAACAATGTAGAGCATCTATTGATTCCAAATTTATAGCTGCAATAAAACAATTCCTTAAAGACAAAAAATGCACTGGGTATAGAAGAGAATTTCATTTTCTCTGTACACATCCACTGTCAAACAAATAGCTACTCTGCAATCCACACTCAAAACGTCTTATTTTTAAACTAGAGTATTGTAGTTAATGCATTGAAGTGAAAGACTGTTTTATGCATGTGTTGCTGTTCCTGTTTGTCTCTCAGGCTTTCTCCAGTGTCCAGCAATACTGGTTTGTGTTCCTAGTAATAATAACAAATGTATACTGACAGGTTTGTTTCATGCTTCTGTTCTGCAGCTGATTTTGGCTTTGCACGGTACCTCCAGAGCAACATGATGGCGGCCACACTGTGCGGGTCACCCATGTACATGGTCAGTGTGTTTCACTGTGTATGTTTTGTGTGTGAAGCATTGCAGCTGAGGTCTGTCATTTTAAAACTAGTGCAGTGTCCGTTCAGAACATGCCTGTTCACAACGGGCCCAATGTTTGGCCTGTAGTGTTGCTGCCTTTCTCAAGAACCGCTCATGCAAACAACACACTCGACGCTGCTCTTCCTGTGATCCTCAGCAATACACCCGCCATGACATACATGAAAAAACAACAACACCAGGGGCAGACTTAACCAAGTGAGGCAACTGCCTGGGGCCGCCTTTCTAAAAGGGCCCCAAACACCTATAGATTTATTATATGTAAATATCAAGTTATGCTACTAGTCTAACTCATTGTACCCTGAAATAACTTACAAAAGGCCCCAAAGCACCTACAAAATATGCAACTCAACCGTATACACCTTACTGTGTACTTCTGCTTCAAACGAAATCTTTGTAGCAGTACAATTAACCGGGAAATGTTACTGGTAACATTTCAGATTTGGCAAAAATATATCATTTACAATATGATGTATTATTATTCATAAACTTTTCCAGCATCATATTAGAATTGAAAGCTCCACCTTAAACAGACATTAAGTATATTGTGCAGATAATCCCTCTCTTTCACTCTTCACTTGAAGTAAGCAGGTTTTTGTATTGTGTGTATTAATAGTTTTACTATGAATAGTGAATATCAGAAAGAACCCCCACATTACTAAATCTGCCCCTGGAAAAATAATTGGTTCTCGAGGAAAAACCACCAGGGACCCCTAACCACTGTATAGATTTATTAGGATATTTAGATATAAAAATGACCGAATTATGTTCTTAGTCTTAGTCACTGTACCCCCAAACAACTTGTTTAGAATATGCAACTTAGCTGTATACTACTTGCTGTAGTATACTGAGGATAACATTGAAGTACTACATTTACATGACAGAGAGATCAGATTCTGCTCATAAAATATAATGAAATATTATTCATTTAACTATTCAGAATTATGAATTGAAAGCTCTAACTTGAACGGACGTTAAGTAAAGTCCGTTGTACTGATACTGCCACTCTTCACTTAAAGTACACATATTTGTGTGCAGGACTTTTGCTGTGCCGTAAAAATAGTTTTACTAATAGTTAATAGTTTTTCTTCAGAAATAGAGTTTTGACTACTGTTAATAAAAGCTGTGAATATGTCACTTTTTTACTGGAAGTTTGAATATGTTTTCCTGCAAGAAAGTAATCGTTTAGATCTCAATATGTGGTCAGTTTATCCAAATAATGCCTGTTTGGTTTGAGCTTGAAGCTCTGCTCCCACTGCTGCACAGAACGCTGTGTGCTTGTTTACTCAAATTTTGTTATCGGAAAAAAATCCAATGCACATTCTAAAAAGCACCCCAGCAATACACTAAGTGTGGAGTAGATCAGATGAGCGGTTCTTGAGATATCCAAAGAACAGATGGACAGACATACAGTACATTCCTTGCTTTATAGTTAGATGACCTGGCAGCTTCATTAGCAGTGTGTTGCATAACTCTCCCTGCTCTGGATCTTAACCTGGCCTTTCCTCCCTCAGGCCCCAGAGGTCATCATGTCCCAGAACTATGATGCCAGGGCCGACCTGTGGAGCATAGGGACAGTCCTCTACCAGTGTCTGGTCGGCAAGCCACCGTTCCAGGTTAATACTGCGCACATCAAATAAATTACAAATGTATTTGTAGATATGTGTGTTTGTGCATCTAATTTCTATATAAATATTTGCAGGCCAATAGTCCCCAAGACTTGAGGATGTTCTATGAAAAGAACAAGAATCTCCAACCGATGTAAGCCACAAAACCTCTTCTTTTTTGCTTTGAGGCTCCTTTTTACAGTGTGTGATTTGGGCTGTCCCAGATGAAAGGTGACCGTTTTGAGAAGAATTTGTGGGCCAGTCTTTGAGACCAGTGCAGAGCCTGTTGTTTGTATCCATGGTATGAGCATGGCTCTATGGATGCCATATTCGAGCCACCACTTTGGTCCTGACTGAAATACTGTATCTCAACAACGATAGCATGGATTGCCATGAAATATTTTACAAGCATTCCTGGCTCCCAGACGATGAATCATATGTTGGTGATCCCCTGACTTTTCCTCTAGTCCCACCAGCAGTTACTGTTATTAAGTTTCTGTTATTTAGCGAAATATTGCAACACTTTTGGAGGAATTGTTCTGTAATTTGGCACACACAATCATGTTACACTGTAATCCCTTTGACGACTCTGCCTTTCACCCAATACCCTCATTAGGTCAAACTTTTTATTTGTCCATTACTTTGGTTTATGACCGAATACCTGTAAAACTAATGATAATCCCATCAGCTTCAGCAACTGTTAACATTCTCAACTAACATGGAAGGTGAATATGGCAAAATTAGCATCATCGTTAGCATTTAGCTCAATGTTCTCCTGTCCCTCAGTACAGCCTCACAGAGCCACTAGCATGCCTGCAGATAAGGTCAGCAACCTTGACATGAAGTGCCATTTTTACATTTTCTTGTTTATCAGTGTACCATATTAACATTAAGGTTAACATTAAGTTAAACATGACACCACATCAAAATGTAAATCTCCAACAGATCTGTAGTTTTATTCCATCCATATAGGCAATGTGCATTAGCAACATTTTCAAAACACATTTTTCTCCCATAATCAGGACATTGTAATTATATTTGAGAGCACTATACAAGAGGGTTGCCATACTTATGAAACTATCCACATCTGAGTTGAAATCATTAACCCTACCAACCTTCCAGCAATCTTGCTCAGCAATAAACTTGTGAAAATCTGCGAAGAAGGCCAGGAGTACTAGCTACTACTGTCAGAGACAGAGTGGGACGGGTCTTTGCGAAATGCGGTTGGGGGGTGGCTACCAAGACTTCATTTGATCCATCTCACATAGTGTGACATGCACTTGTAAGATTGTTGTTTTTTCTCCCCACAAGAAACAAATAATTAATATTCCCATGCTCTGATTAACCAGCATCCCGAGGGAGACATCCCAGCAACTTGGCCACCTTCTGCTTGGGCTGCTGCAGAGGAATCAGAAAGACAGGATGGACTTTGGTGAGTGAAAACATAATAGTCATTTATTTAAACATCGAATGATGAATGTGTTATTCAGGTATGTTTCTTACATAAACTGAAATCTGTCTGTGCTCTCTGATCTGTTCTGTCCCATCACTCTGTAGACGCTTTTTTTAGCCATCCGTTCCTGGAGCTGCCATCCACCATTAAAAAATGTAAGCACAGAGCTCACAGTCCCAAGCAAGATAACTTACTCTTCTACACGTCTACACATCGTACAACTTGAAAACATGATAAATCATCTGTATTTCTTTCCCTCAGCATGTCCAGTGCCAGTCCCCAGCGCTTCCAATGTAGTGACGGACAGTTCCTGCGGCAGCTCACCATGCATCCGCTACAACTCCCCTCCTGTAAGTTTGACATTACTTTATAAATCCTCATTCAAAGGGGACTACACTTACATTGTGAAAATAATAAGATTGTGCTTGGACCCTTGCATTAGATAAGGAACCTCATGGAGAACAACTTAATACAATTATAACATTTTCAATCCATGTGACAGAAATTATACATATAGTAAATACATAAAATGGCAGTGGGTGTCAGGCAGGATCAGGGCAGCAGGCACAGCCACGGTGCAGATATACCCAAGATCCAAGGAATACTGCGAGGCGAGAAAGCACATAAGGACATCGAGGGAAGAAGCCAAGATAGTAACATGCATTAATTGGACGTGAATGCATACAGATGGAGGGGAGGACAGAGGAGCTCCGTGTAGTCCCCCGGCGGTTTGGGCCTATAGCAGCATATCTAAGGGCTGGTCCAAGGCAAACCTGAGTCGGCCCTAACTATAAACCTGAGTCGGCCCTAACTATAAACCTGAGTCGGCCCTAACTATAAACCTGAGTCGGCCCTAACTGTAAACCTGAGTCGGCCCTAACTGTAAACCTGAGTCGGCCCTAACTGTAAACCTGAGTCGGCCCTAACTATAAACCTGAGTCGGCCCTAACTATAGGCTTTATCAAAGAGGAAAGTCTTAAGCCTACTCTTAAGTTTAGTGAGAGAGTCTGCCCCCCTGACTGAAAGTGGAAGCTGGTTCCATAGGAGAGGTGCTTTGTAGCTGAAGGCTCTAGTAGGGTAATATGGTACGATAAGCTCCTTAAGATATGATGGTGCTGACCAATTAGGGGTTTGTAGGTGAGAAGAAGGATTTTACATTCTATGCTTGATTTTATTAATATGATCTCTTCCTTGTTTTTGTTAATACATGAGCTGCAGCATTCTGAATCAACTGGAGAGTCTAAAGAGACTCATCAGAACAGGCTGATAATAAGGAATTGCAGTGATCTAGTCTAAAAGTAACAAAAACATGGATGTGCCTGCTTTTACAAAGGTGACAAAAGGCAGTCCTTGAAGTTTGTTTTATGTGTATATTCTGATCAAAGATAACGGCGAGATCCTTTGGTGTTGTCTTTTGGTGTTCGTGGTGTTTGATGCAATGTTATCTAGAGTAACTATATCCTTATATAACTATTAGTATAAGTCAGTGGCGGGCCGTGCATTTTATACCTGGGCCTTCAGTGCTGTCCTACTACAGTTGAATTACCTCCTAATAACCTCATTATGACAAATCAATCCAGCAAACCTGCAGCGGATCCACGCATTCCACCACACAAGAGCACGAGCCATTCAAATATTATTCATAAAAACGACACATTACAGCAGATGTAAAACAACAAACGCAGTTTGTCACTTACCGAATGCTGTTCACTTAAAGACAAACTCCATCCTCCTTTCTTTGTTAGAGTTTAATCCCACGTACATCGTTTCAGTTCCAGTAAGAAGTCCTTCTCGATTCATGGACGCCAGTGACAGTCGAGCCTCCCCAGTTGTATTTCGCCGGTCTGCTGCGGCAGGTTCGCAGCGGGGCCGGGATCTCACCTCCGCCGGGGCGCCCGCCGGGGCGCCTGCCGGGCCACGGTTGTAGAGCTGTTTCCCTGTGAACGTGTTCGTTGAGTTGTAGATCCACTCGAGTCTCTCCAAAAGTTTTCAAAAGCAGCGTAGCTTGTGTCCTGCCGTGCTATGGCGTCCTCAGGTTAATCAATATATATACTTGGATATCAGCTGCATGGCAATAAAGGTTTATGGCGTGCTCTGATAATATTGCCTAAAGGAAGCATATATAAGGGGAATATAACTGGTCCAAGCACACAACCTTGCTTAACTCCGTGACAAACTTTGGTGTGCATGGAGGATTCATCGTTTACATACAGACTGGGATTGATCTGATGAACAGGACTCCAGCTTCACGGCGTTCCTTCAATGCAATTAAAGGTTCCAGTCTCTGTAACAGGATGTGATGGTCAACCTTACGAGACAAGAACAGAGACAAGTCCTTTGTCTGATGCAATCAGAAGGTCATTAGTCGTTTTCACCAGTGCTGTCTCTGTGCTATGATGCTTTCTAAATCCTGACTGAATATCCTCAAATAAACTATTGTTATGTAGAAAGTCACACAGCTGATTTGCGACTGGTTTCTCAAAGATCTTAGAGCGGAAGGGAAGGTTAGAGATCGGTCTATAGTTAGTCCACACCTCTGGATGAAGAGTGGGCTTCTTAAGAAGAGGTTTAACTACAGCTACTTTTAAGGACGGTGGTACAGGGCCTGTTAGTAAAGACAGATTGAAGATCTCTAGTAAAGTGGTGCTAACTAAAGGTAGAACTTCTTTAAGCAGTCTTGTCTGGGTGGGGTCTAAGAGACAGGTGGATGGCTTAGATGTAGAAATTGATGAAGTCTGTGTGTCTGTCTATGAACTCCCAGTCTCTCCCGGACATGCAGACACTAGCAGAAGATGGTCTGTCGTCCCCTCCGCTCGGTCCGCCCAACTTCCTGCAGCTGTCCAAAGAGTCTGCAGGAAGCACCAGCAGTAAGAACTCGTCCTGTGACACTGATGACTTTGTCCTGGTGCCTCACCTCTCGACTGACAGCTGTAAGTGCCAACACACATACTGTACTCTGCTGTATTCCCTTAAATTCACTCAGGTGTAACTCACCGGATTATTTGAGAGGGAGATCAACTCTTGGGCTTAATTCATTTCTTTTGTAGAAAATGCAGAAATATTACCTTTAGGGCTAGGCAGTGAATTTAATCAGGATATTTTTTTCATAACAGTTGATTTTGATGCATTAGGGCTTCACAATTAATCTAATGTTAATCGTGATCAGAACTTTTGCTTCCCATAATTAAATGAACATGATCAACTGCCATATTGACACTTAAAACGCGTGCTCCGCTCCGTTTTGGCTTTACTTTTGGGGGCTTACATGCTGCTGCTTGGGCACCGTTAAGCAGCAGCATGTGAAAATCGTTCCTGAATGTTGCAGTTCCGAGTAGAAGAGTAATTTAATTCAATTCAATTTATTTTGTATAGCGCAAACTCACAAATCACAAATTTGCCTCAGAGGGCTATTTTTACTTGTTTTAACAGAGAGCAGACGTGCAAAACATAAATCCATGCAATTCATTGAAGAAGAATCTTATTTTAAGTCTTATTTTGTCTGTATTGTTTATTATCAGGAATGTAGCACAACGGGAAAGTGAAATCACACAGTGCTTTGTTGATCTAATCTTGGCTTAAAAGGTTTAGGTACACTTTTATGTTGCCTCTAGAAGAGGTCCTGTGAATAAGGACCAGTCTTATTTTAATGCAAAGACACATTAGCAGGAATGTAGCACACCATGGAAGCTTATTTAAATGTGAAAGTGCAATTAAAAAGTATTTTGTCCCTAAAATCAATGAATAATCGTTATACATTTTTGTGATCTCATTGTCAATCAAAATAATGTTGATAATCATTTTGTCCATAATCGAGCAGCCCTATGATGCATACAGTATTACAACATGAATCGGTCACAATTTCGGTTTCATGTCGTGCTTTATATAATGTTACGGTTGCTGTGACGGTAAAAATGTTGCTTACTGTCCCATTTCAAAGAAGGTTTCCTCTGAGGGAGTGCTTTGTGCCTCCCCTAACAGCACATCAACTTCTCATGTGTTGTGTTTAGCAAACTCAACCAACCCTTTTGTGCCTATATTGCCAAGTAGGATGTCCGTCTTAAAATACTTTAATATGATTGGTTAAAAATAGTTTTGTTTCTGTATGTTGATTGGTTGTCATGTTGCCAAGTTTTGCACACATGCTCACACAAACTCACATAGCACGTCTCCAAATCCACAGCTGGTAAATTAGACAGCTGCTAACCATTTAATGCTGTAGCTGTAGACATCAGTGCACAAGCACACTTGACTGGTAAAATGTCTATCATGTTCTACACTTGCACACACACGCATCCACCTGCTAGTCCTCCCATTGAAACAATGAATAAAAAGTGTCACCTCAGCAGGCATTTTGAGTGGCATTCAGTTATTAATTCAGTATTAATTGCTGTTGGTTTATACATCAGTAAAGCCTGTTGCACCTTCATTATTCTCTTCTTTGCCTCTCTCTCCCTCCTCAGATGACCAGCCAATGGGAGCAGGTCGTCGGCCGTCCAGTGAGTTCCTCATGTGTGGAGGGTAAGTCCGATGCTATAAACCAGAAAGCTCTGGACATTGTTCAGAAATACAAACATCGTCTCTCATAATGTACTTGACAAACAGCACGGCTCATAATGAACCCAAGGTAAAGGTTCTAGAAAGAGAAATGAAAACTATACAGGAACCTTCAGTCAATGATCAATAAAGCCATGGGAGGCATACACGATGAATGCAAATAGTATTAAAGTGTAGTAGACAAATATATCTTTTTGTAGTGTTGTATTCATGTGCTCTTGAGTTTAATGCGTGCTGGATGGGTGCATTCCACTGCTGCATAACCAATAGCTCTACCGAGGACAAATACTGTATAGTCAATGATTGACTGATGGATTGGTTGATCTTGTGAAATGCATTTAATTGCTTTCTTGCCGAGAGTTAGTCGGATAGCTTAGCTTAGCTTAGCATAGGACTGGAAACGGGGAAACTGCTAGTCTGGCTCTGTCCAAAGGTAACAAAACCAGCCTACCAACAGCTCTAAACTGAAACAAGTATCAGAACGTTGAGGTTTTATGAGATTATGTGTTTTATCATCATCTTGCTGTGTGTGATTAACAAAAAAAAAGTTGCTAGCTTTGATTGTTTATTTTGGTCATAAACTGGTATTTTCTACAATTGCAAAAGTCATCAAAGGGGTCTGTAAAGCCTCTGAGAATGCTGCAGATAGTGTGTTATTGTTTACATGTGCCGCTGGGTCACTAACTAATCAGACACAGTTCATGGAGGATGAACTAGATGTTGACAAGAGTCAGAGTAAAGAATAGACTGGCTGTCCAATGGACGTGTGACATGTTGCTGTGAGTCAGATTCCATTTCACACACAGCCTTGTGTGTGTGTGTGTGTGTGTGTGTGTGTGTGTGTGTGTGTGTGTGTGTGTGTGTGTGTGTGTGTGTGTGTGTGTGTGTGTGTGGTCGCATCATCTATACTTCAGGCATTTTTTATGTCAGCGAGGCCTCCTCTGTTTCTTCATTTTACTAATACTTTCTCTCTCTGGCCACCAGCAAAACACCCTCCTCTCAGCTTGACACACTTCTAGATATTACACACACACTCCGTGTCCTTTTGTCCCAAGTGAATTATTCTGCCCACCTCCTAATCTGTACGATGAGTAAGTTATGAATCAGATGCTGAGCCAAACAACAAGGTGGTGCTGTGCTAAATAAAGCACCTGACCCACTCAGGGCTGTGCTAAGAATAGGCTCACACACTCCCCAAATGTTGCCCGCAATAACAAAAACGTGAGATTAAGCGAGCCTCAGCTGTGTATTGAAAGATCAAAACATGCTCACATGTACTGCAACCACATTCTGCTCTCAACATGACAGCATGTCATGTTGTGAAAAAAAAAGTCCTTTAATTTGAGTTAAGATAAACATTTTTAAAGCTTCCTTAAGCTGAAGCAGGAGCTAAAAATCACATCTTGATGCTTGAGCCTCCTCTGGACTGGAAACCTTTCTGTTTCAGGGACGTTTGGATTCTTAACTTTCTTATTAAATGATGCAGTCTGCTTATAAAACGACGACGTGGAGGCTCCGTAGTCTGTACCGAAAATACAAACTTCTTCTTTCAGCCTAGACAAAGCCAGCGCTTCCCAGATCTACTCACTCTATTCTTACATTCACAGTAAAAGCCCTAGACATATACATTTTGCAGGCAAGTATTTAACATTTTAATGTTGTTTTTTTGTCATGCCGCCAGCTTACAAAGGTCTTTTAGATTGAAATTGAAGTTTTAAATACATATATATTTCCCCCCTAAAACTCCTGCTATTGTCTATCACTCTTTGTTCCCCCTCCCTTTGTTAATCACCAGTGAAAAGCCTCAAGCAGAACTGTTGTCTTCCCTCTCTGTTCCCTTTTTAAATGCATCCAATACGTTTTGTCTTTGTTGTTGTTCTGTCTAATCCTCCTCTAACCATTAGCACATTATGTGCTTTCAACGTCTTCCTCCATAGCAATAACTCTTTACTGTTTACATCGATTAGTTAACCATTGACACGGGAAGAACCAATTTCTTTCTCCACTACAGGAGTTGATCCTTCCAGTTCAGTTACAGCAGCCACGTTCTCAAGGAGCTCCTAGATCACAGCCTTGTTTATCCTCTGATTGATTGGAGTTGAGGAAGAAATGCTAAATGGACTTGCATGTGTATAGCGCCTTTCTAGTCTTCTGACCAGTCAATGCACTGTCATCATTCACACCCTTTCATACACTGATGGCAGAGCCTACCATGCAAGGGGCCATCAGGACCCCAAACTGATTCACATTCACGCACATTCATACACCGATGGCACAACCTTTGGCCTGGAGGACTGGAGGATGTGACCGGATCGAACCGCCGATCTTCCGATTGGCAGACAACCCGCTTTATCTCTGAGCCAAAGAGGAAGACCACCAGTGTGTGGGCTTGGGAACTTGGGAACTTGGGAAGATGGAGAGAAGAGCAGAATGTCTGGAGAGAGATGATCATTGTAAATAAAGCAAGGAAATATTATTCAAAAGAGGCCGGAATTGTTAAATCTGAATATAGTGGAGAGGCAACTGAAATTCAGATCCAGTCTCTCTCCTCTTTCCACTCTTGCCTCTTTTAAAAATCAGCTGTTCACAGACCTACAAATTGTCTTTCTTTCTTTTTAACGAGGAAACAACCGCGCACATTCTTCTCCATGTTAAACCTTGGCTGGGATCAATAAAGCTTTTAGCAAGCTGGTGAAAAATAGAAAGCCTCACTGGATCAAATGTCTTCTTGATCAGTGTTAAGTGTGTGGAGAAGGACAGAACGTGGTCAGGTTTACATCCCAGAATCTAACAAAGCAACTTCTCTCTGGTTCTTTGTCTGGGCTAGTCTTTGCCTCACGTGTCCTCCCCCTCTAGGCCCTCCCAGGCTTCACATCATTACATAATACTGGTTTCCAACTGTTGACACCCTCTAACGGCTATTTCCACCAGTTCTCCCTTGTCTTGCATTCAATATGTAAGCAAGGCCCTCTGTGGGTGACTCGGTCATGACTCTTTGTTTGAGAACATTTTGTCTCCTCTGGAATAACAAAAGAATGCAAATGAGCTGTGCACTTCCCCTCCTGTGCATGTGCCATTTCCCGGCCCCGCCTCTAGCCCTGCCCTCAGCAGAGCGACCCGTCAGCTGATTGGTGCTGCTTTTGTGTTTACATGGAAGCCTCACCCCCTATTTCTTTTTAACAACTCATGATCTGCCAGGCTAAACTTAAGTTCCTTAACCTGCCTCCACACTGAAGTAAACAGAGGACATGAGGCTGTAGAAACAAAGCCTCTACATTTTAGAGTTGTCCTCCTTGAAGTTCTACTTATTGCACAAGCAATAGCCTTGAGGAGGTTTATATTATTATGGGTTTTGACACCCCTGAAGATGTCCTGCAGATATGGAACCAGCAGCAGCCTCGAGCAGACCAGCTAACCGCCCTCTTCTCCCTGCTCTTCCCCTCCAGGCAGCCGCAACCCACCCCGGGACAGGCCCCCATGGTGTCCCCACGGGCTGAGACCACCCCCATCCCCGTTCCCACCCAGATTCGCAACTACCAGCGCATCAAGCAGAACCTCTCCAGCAGCCCGACAACCATGCTGTACAGCTCCCCCAGGTAAAAGCTGTCTCTGCTGGGTCTGAGAGGGACAGGAGGGCCCGTGGTCCTGGATTATCCTTGTTAGTTTTTACAGGGTTTATACACATTTTTACCGATACATTTCCAAGTCTTTTCCGTGCCTTTGAGGCAAGTCTTCATGATTATATATTCTCTGAAACGTTTGTGTGTACATGAAAGAATGAATAAAAGGTCGGAGTCTGAAGTCACCCAACGCAGAGAACAACGCAACAAGTGACATTTTTTGTCATGAAGATTTTTTTATTTATTCTTCACAAACATGCTGCAATATTATAGCACCAGAAAACAGAAACAAAAACAGGACAGTGTCGTAGACACTGCACCCCACATGACATTAATGCTGTAGAAAAGAATTCATAGAGCTTTTCCACTACTCGCAGCTTTGAATAAGACAATGCTTTTTAAGTCTGACTGGAGTCCAATAATATCTAATAATAACTTTATAATGCAGACATTTGCTGTTACTATCCCTTAGTGGCCAACCCATGCTATTGACAATATTCTCCCAGACCTCTTGTGTAAGATCAGTGTCCAGGTCCCTTTGTCATATCCTCAGACTCTCACTCTCACCATGAAGAGCATTTGCTGTCATGTTATGAAATACAGAGGGTGATTGTACATTAAGTTGTGTTAACCTTTACAGTACGCTGTCATCCTGTCCTGTATCGTAACCCATGGACTGTACTTGGAGGTATTTCCAAAAGTCCCCATTATCCATTAAGCTATATCAATCTTTCAGACCTTGATAGAAGATCACTCACTCTCCAAATAGATCAGCAAGTGGCTAAACCCTTCGTGTGCCATGCCTTAGATATAGTTTTCTTTCCTACAGGAGGAAATCCTGTGATTAAGAGCGCAGCATTTCCCCAAACATGTACCCTTGTTTGTACTGAGGCAGTCCAAACATTTTACAGATATTGTTCCAAAACTCCTGGAGAAATGGATTAATATTCCATTTGGGAGGGCCACCTCTCTGCTTATTACACTATAGTAACCAATACAGATTTTTCTCAGTAGATCTCAACTTAACCACATTTACTCTTATTATCCAGGTATTTGTGATTCTAATTCCCATTTTCTAAAACCTCTCCAGGCCTGAACATTGCTATTATTTTTCATGACTGTAAGAACCCTGTGATTAGTAATGAAACACTTGGAATGGGCACTCGCTTGTTGACATCAACTTGTGACTAATGTTTTACTCACCATTGGGAGTCAACTTTATGGCTATGTAATGAAAACGCAGGCTGTTATTACATCAGCCATAATGTTTCACCAAAATTACATCAGATACAGCATGTGCCTGCTTGAGCGTGTAGCTTTTCAACCTGTTGCTGGGAGGGTTTGTTGGTGGTTTTATGTGAAGACAAAGCAGATAGCAGGGCAGAGGAAAAAAGAAGGGTGGCACCGTGTTCCACAGGGAGATTAGTTCTGTTGTTGCTATAGAGTGCTGCAGGAATAAGTCCTAAAACCTGGAAGTGAGTCAGCATTTTAGCCTTCCAGTTCCCTCGTCTCGAAGTCATTGGGGTTTTGGTTAGGTGCCTGAAATAAGCTATGTGGATAAGGTATTTGGATAATGTTTTTGGAGTAGCAGCTTGTTCAGTTGACCTGGAAGTTACAGTAGATGGAGGATCCACTCCCCGCTAGCTATGCGTCTTTGTCCAGCTGTCCTACTCTCCAGCCGTCCTGTCTCGTCAATCTGTTTAGGGAGGATTAGAGCTCTGACACTCTGTCCTTTTGACCTATTAGAGGCCCTTCTTAATTTGTTAGTGTTCTTTTATTCTCACTTTAGGGAGCAAGAATTTGGCAAGTAGAATTCCTTCATATACTGTATGGATCTTTATTTTGCTTTATTTTAGAAATGACACCCTGCAACTAGATACTAAGACAGAAGGAAGTGGAGTAATTTGTGTTGAGCTCCGAATATGAAATCTTAATATGAGCTAGCACCTAAAGCAAGAGTTGGCCTTTGTGCACCTGCAAATCCAGCACAGTTTACTGGACACATTAAGGTGATGGCTGGTAGTCCTTTAAATTGTAAAGCAAATCAAACAGTGTCATTTTAACAGTTAATTCTTTCAGGTGCAGCATCTTCCTAAGGCAATTGACACCGTAGTAGACTTCAATAAAAACTAAAACCAAGATGGCGACGACCAGAACGTCGAATTCGAATCTTCGAAACAGTAGTCTGAAAAAACAATCACACAATGACGTCACAATGAATGACGTCACAATGGGTGACGTCACGTTGACTGCGTCCACTTCTTATATCGCGTATATGGGATACACACAATGTGTTGTGGTGAGAAACACTGAATGTATACATAACCCTTGTTTGATGTCAAGAAAACTCCACAGGGCATTTCATTAAAAGCCGTACCTCGTGCAGTTGTATCATGTCGTATCATTTGATTTGCGATTCACAGACTTCAGATTATGTATATTGTGTATCTCAGTAATTACATGAGGTCCCCACAAACTCCAGCACATGCTTTGTTTCAGTGTGACTGAAATCTGTGGTCTGGGAGAATTGGCTGACATGAGCCAAAGGGAGAGGAAAGAGGTCACACGAGAGACATTATTTGAATACCTGAATCCTAGAGGATTCCAAGTATTGTATCAATGTCTTTAACTTCACTCTTTGGATTGGTTCAGTGCTGATTGAGACAGAGCATTTTCCTCATGGCTCTGAAAGCTGAATGAATTTTACTTGAGCTTGGGATAGTCGATGCAATTACTTTTACTTATGTTTTTTGTGATGCGTGGTTGTGTTGTCTAGGTCTGGCACTGTGAGGCGTTCCAACACTAGTCCCATGGGGTTTCCCAAGGTGGGGTCGGCGTCCCCCAGCTCTGCAGATGTCCCTCAGACAGTAGGCAGGCGTCTCTCCACCGGCAGCTCTCGGCCCTACTCCCCCTCACCTCTTGGTAAGGACATGTCCAGATGTGGCTCCCAGCACACCAGCTTTTTAATAACACGTTCCAGACATGAGTTTGATTCGCAATGCGAATAACTGTTTTTGTTTGCAGTGGGCACCATCCCTGAGCAGCTGGGTCACTGCTGCTGTCACCTGCAGAACCACGAGCCTCGCAGCCGCAGCTCCTCAGGAGGTCAGTTCACTTCAGCTGTCCTCTCCAAAGCCTGGTCCCCTGGTCAACCCTAACTGTGCCAACTTGTTCACTTAGATTAAATTTATGGTCCTGTAGGAAACATGGGTTATTGAAATAGCACATGTTAATTAGTTAACACTAAAACATGAAGCATAAATTGGAAATTGTATCATATGGATGAATATTTTGTATGATAAAAACATGTTGTGAATTTTGGAAGTGATTCCATCTAAGCTATCTTTTCAGTAGGTTTTGACTTTTCAACGCTCTGAAGAAAGCAGCATTCGAAGCAGCGCAGCATTCGAATGTTGATTTTAGAATTCCAATTATAAATGAAGCTTCAGACTCTTTGGTACAGCCCTACTTCCTGCAGCATTTATTTAAATCCAATGCAGAATAAATCTAGAGCTGAAGACAGCCTTCAGCTGAGAGACAATTGAGACATGAAGTTATGTGTCCTCTGACCTGCCAGAGACAATGCACAAACCCACGTTGTCCATGAACAATCTGAATCAACACTATACATTACATGCTAATTATAGTACTATATAGTATACAGCCTTTTAACTTGAAATTGACTCTAATCCGGCCCCTCTAGGTTCCCCCGTCCCCTCTTCTCAGCTCCTTGGGCCTCGGCTCCAGAGCGCCCCCACCCTGACCGAGTTCTACCAGACCAGGCAGAAACTCCACAAGCAGTTATCGGACCCTGTGCAGCCTTCTGCCTCCTCCTCCTGCAGTCATTTCCCTCAGCTCGGTCGACCAGCCAGCCTCGGCTCCTCCCCCACCAAGCTCCTGGGCACCTCCCCCCGCACATCCGACTGGCTGCAGAAGTCGCCGCTGCCTACGATCATTGGCTCCCCGACTAAGGTGAGTGCAGATGTTATTAAGTGTGTAGATGATCCAAATTAACTAAAATGTCAGCTGTTAAAGTTTCCCTGTTTAATGTTTCTTCCATTCAGACCATTTCGGCACCATTCAAGATCCCCAAAACGCAGGCGTCCTGTAACTTGATGGCACTGGCGGACAGCCCCGTGCCCACCAAGACGCTGGCAGATGCCCGGGATATCTGTGCCCACCACTGCAGCCCGTACCTCACTGGACGCCCAGCTGCCCCTGAGGCCAGTAGGACCTTTGGCAGGTAGGCCTCCCTGAAACAAATGTGTCTTCTGTCTGTTCGCTTCGCTTGTTCCCTACTTCTCTTTTGCACCCACCTCAGCTTCCACCGTAATCAATGTTACACTGATAAATGAATGTCCATTGACCTGGATGATCAGGTCTGGTCATTATGGTTCATTGCCAATATAATGGACATGATGCTATTCAGTTTTTATATGAAGTAGCTATTGTACAATTGATCAGTAGTACACCTATTGACTGACTACAAGAGTCCTGACTTACTTGCTTCTTTATGTATTTTGCTGGGTTAAATGTCGGTAGCCAGTTTCACACTGGCTCAATTTAGTCTCCGATGCATTTATACGCACACAAAACACATTTCTGGGTCTGTACTTTCCTGGCATAGAAATAGAAATACATTTGTGTTATGTCAATCATGTCGTGTATATTTACATGCATGTAGTGGAAAGGGCTCTAGCTTGGCGCACCGCTTTGTGTTACTTTGATCCACCCCCGTCTATCCTCTACCATATGACGTCACTCTGTCTGCTGTTTGACATTGCTCTGACATTATCTGTGCTATTCCCTTCAGGTCTGTGAGCACAGGTCGTCTGTCTGAGCAGCCAATCAGAATAAGTCTGGGTGGACAGGCCTATCAGGGCAGCACTGACAGCTTGAACACAGAGCGACCCATGGACACAGGTAGGCTACACTGCTGCACACACAATGTGTTTACCACAGGTTCCCCGATTTCAGTCACTTAGTCAACATAAGAAATTACTCATGTCTGTATTCTTCAATATGAAAAATTCTGTATCAACATAAAGTCTGAGGAATGATTCTGTTATTTCATACAGCGTACTTTTTTTATAACTAAGATGCCTCATTTAATCTACACCAGTGTATGACAGAGAATGAAAACAATTAAATGTCCTCTTCCCAAAGCCCCTGCGGGTCCCAGCGGGCTGGTTCACGGTGGGTCAGCGAGTCCTCGTACTGTCCTTTTCACCGTGGGTTCACCGCCTAACAGCTGCACTCCTCCTACCTGCAGCCACCTGGGCACACGGCCACGCACCATCTCAGGTGAGGGCCCTTCCCTAGCTGAGCTAGTGTGCAAGCAAATAAGCTATTAACAGTTGGAAGCAGGACGGCGGTGAGGTATTTGTTAGTAGCACTGATCCTCATGATCCTCCACCTTCTCCTCCCTGTCCTTGTCTCAGTGGGCTCTAACAGTTCGGCCGGCTCCCTGTGCTCCACCAGCGGTCGGATCTATGTTGGTTCTCCTCCCGGCATGGCCCTGTGTTCCTCTCCTCCAGGAGGTTTTGGGGGCGGGCAGGCTGTTCCTGGGACTGAGGGGGCACCCAGCAGCCTGCGCTATGTTCCCTATGGGACCTCCCCTCCCAGCTTGGAGGGATTCATCACATTTGAAGCGCCAGAGCTGCCTGAGGAGACCCTCATGGAGGTGAGGGAGTGTGGTGTCTATTTCTTATTATTTAACAGGGAAATGGATCTGTCAGACAACTTCATGACTCACTGGTATACTCTTTTCTTTTTTTAAATTTTTATCTTGTTGTTCTGTTTTACGTTTAATTTGTGTCCGGTCCAGCGTGAGCATACAGATACCCTGATGCACCTACGGATGATGCTTTCGTTCACTGACTGCGTCCTGGAGATGGCGGCAGTGCGAGCTGGAGGGACGGAGCTTGGCGTGTCGGCCGCCTCACTCTACCCGCCCCAGGACAGTGTGGTTGTGGACCAGATCAGCCAGCTCAGCAAAGAGTGGGGGTAAGGAATGGCTTAAGTCAAGTTTGACCCTCAGATAATCTCCCTAATGTGGTGTAGTGTGAGGAAGCCCTTTGTTCAGTGGTGTTGCTGCAGTATTTTATATACTCTGGTTGTGCTGCCCCCTACAGGCAGGTGGAGCAGCTGGTGCTGTACATGAAGGCAGCTCAGCTCCTGGCTTCTTCTCTCCATATGGCCAAGGCTCAGATTAAATCAGCCAAACTCAATCCCTCCACTGCTGTCAAACAGGGTAAGGACATTTAATTTCCCATTACTTGACTTAACCTGTGACCAGTGCGTTAAACTGGAACCTGTGAGCGAGGAACCTTCAAATACACGTTTATGCAAAAAATATTTATTCCCTCTCTGTGTCTTCTCTCAGTGGTGAAGAGTTTGAATGAGCGTTACAAAAGCTGCATATCCCTCTGCCGCCGGCTGACTGACAAACTCAACCACTTCTTCTCCGATAAGCAGCGCTTTGTAGACGAAATCAACAGCGTCACAGCAGAGAAGCTCATCTACAATCATGCTGTGGAGATTGTGAGTATCAGACACACAGTACAGAAATAACTAACAGTCTTCAGTGGTTACAGAGACAAAATGATTGTAGTCTGGTAATGATTCTTGTACTTTCCACTAGGTTTTTTTCAAGCGTATGTTCAGTAAAGTGCAGCGCTAATCTATGCTAGTCAGCCTAATGTGATGCTGTCTGTGTATTTGTGCGTCAGGTTCAGTCAGCAGCTCTGGATGAGATGTTCAAGCAGACAGAAGATATAGCCTACCGCTACAGCAAGGCCGCCATGCTGCTGGACGGCCTATCCAAGATCTTACAGGACCCTACTGACATGGAGAACGTGGTCAAGTGTGAGTAGAAACTCTGAGAGAGAGACACACACACACATGCCCAGTCCTACACAATAGGCCTGATGCAGGAACCACTCGCATGAACAGATTGGGTCTTAGAGGGACAGTGTGTAGGATTTGGTGCCATCTTGTGATGTGGATGCAGATTGCAACCAACTGAATACCCCCCCTCCCCCTCACTCCTCCCTTTCAAAGACTTCATTAACGTGAGCCGCCGAGTTGAAAACTGGTAACGCTGTTCGGCTCGCTCAGAGTCCATCCTTACCATAATAGCATTACTTAAGTGCAAGGGAAGTCAGACGGCTGCTGGCAGTACCACGCTTTGCACTCTGCGGCTCACTTTACCACAGTTTCATGAGCGTGTCGGAGAACTACGGTGGCCTTCAGGTAGCGTGCAAACAGGCCCTCACTAGAGCCAGTGTTTGGTTTGTCAGTTCTAGCAAAAGCGCCGCCCTCCATCACACTGTATAGGTAATACTCTCCTCCAATCACAAGCACGCGTTCGCCCACTGAAACTGGATTCCTCAGGATGGAGAGTCTCAGGAAGAGGTTATCCCGGCGTGCCACCCGTGGTCACCTGCTCCCAAAGTCAGCCTGCTGGTCAGAGAGACTGTTCAGCAGTCATTTGCTGCTCTCTCACCCTCAGAGGAAGGCTGAAGCGAAGCGTAACAACACGATGGTGTGAAGGAGAGTGCGTCGGGGGGATAGTGCACCCAATGCCCCCAGCCGCCTTTCCTTCTCCCGCACTGATGACTGACTGTCTTTACTAATGCCAGTTAAACCCTGGAAGGGGGGAGTACACACCCGTTTGTTCCTCCTTCATCTATCTCCACACAGGGGGAGAGAAGGAAAACACACATGATGTCAGCTGCTGCGCTTACAGGCCAATCAATGATGCATTCATGGACCTCATATTTGGCTTGACCATTTCCATGTTCTCCTTCACCAAGCTCCACTCGCTAAACGGGAAGGATTGGATTAGGGTTAGTGCCGTGATGTTTGCTGCAGCTTTTTCAAGCCGGCCAAGCGTTGGTGGTGTTCAGGGACCTCTTCTCATGCTTGGATTTTTCCATTTCAGTCTCCTGGGCCAGTCTTCCATTTATGGAAGTTGTGGTGGCTCTGAAAGTCTGTGATAGAATATCAAAGCTTTCTCGCTACCTCCCCAAAGCTGTTCGCTCGTCCTCTAACACAGTTTTACAAGTGTTGATGGACAGAATGCTGAGATTGGGTTATTTTCTCCAGCTCTACAGCATTCCCCCTCCGTTCATGGGTGTCGCGGAGTTGAATCCATCCTCCCAGCAGGAGATGGATTACCTGTCAATAGACAGACAGACAGTTTCTGTTACAGGTCACAGATCTCTGTCTGTCGTCCCCACTCAGGGTACACTGTAAGAAGACAGGAGGTGTCCGGCTTGTGTTGCATCTTCGCATCCTAAACCGGTGCTTTGCCCACAATGTTAACCATCAAACGATTGATTCTCCACTGTCTACTTAAAAGTGTATACTTTCAGTTCAGGGTGGCTTTGAAACACAGAATATTCTTGTGTTTCAGCTTCCAGCAGGTAGCCTATGAGTACACAGACTTCTTTAGGCGCTGCGCCGGCCCCCCCTTCTGCTTCATAGTGACCATAGCAGGGCTATACCAAATCCCTCCTTCTTAACTTAAAGAGTTATTTCAGGTCAAGGGTTGCACATCTGGATGCTTTTTGTCCATCACTCCATACAGGGGACAGGGAGGCAAAGTTACATCTGCTTTGCCCAGTTTTCACGTTGGCATGTTATGTTGAACACCCTGCCCCCAACAGCGGGCCTTATATGCTGTTGGGTCGGCACATATTTGGGTAGGCACGTCCTGATTAACTGGCCACGGTTATGCAAATTTTCCAATGTTCAAATGTTTTCAGAGAATTTGGCACATTCACCATATTTCTTGTTCTCAGAATTGTCTCTTGGGTTTCAAAGCAAAATTCCAGATCTGAAGTGTCATGAGTGTGGAGTGTGAATATGTTCCAGAACCTTTTAACCCTTTGATTTACTGTGTAAGTGTGATATGCATTAGCTGTTAGCTATGAAGTGTGAAGGTGTGCAATAAAAGAGCACAACAGGTAGCCGTTTACAGCAATGTGGGGGTTTATGATCAAACCTTATCAACACGTACCTCTTCGTGAACAGGCAGCATTTATCAGGCTGAAACGAGCAATATACAATAACTATGTGCAGTTAAGAGAGTTTGCTGGATCTGCAGGACTAGCAGACCTGTAGTCTGTCTAATAATGTAATTCGTCTTGCGTTTACTTTGTTTGAACAACTTCTCTTTACATGTTGTTGTTTTGTGTATTTTCCCTGCAGACAAGGCCAGCGTGGACCGCAGGATCTCAGCCCTCTGCTACTGCACTGTCACACTCTATGAGTAGCTGCCCTCACACAAACACACATACGCTCACACACAGAGGGACCAAGTCCTAAGACTATCGACGACCATCTTCACAAAGCCTCCGCTCCTTCCTGTAGCAGTTCAAGCACTTTTCATTTGAATCTGTATTTATCGTCATACTGGCTGCATCACGGACTGAACTGTGACAAGCGACTGATGCACAAATTTACAACCAAAGATGACAACGGATCTAGATAAAAAACAAAGGCTGGAACCAGATGTGCACTTTCAAGTGCAGTTTTCTTCAGACGCTATGTTGGTGGAAAACCATCTGATCAACATGTATAAAAAAAACTAATATCCATCTTTCAAGATATCATTTGTTTTTTACCAGAAGAAAAAGAGGATGGAAAGGACTATGAGACGACGATGATCCTGCTTACTATGTGATACCAGTGGTTATTTACTGTGTTTAATTTGTCATTGTTCTTATTTATTGGTTCAGAAGAACATGGGTGTTTAAGTCTCCTGCCTATCTTGAAAACCTCAAGTATTGGAGTCGAAGAAATTGGAAGAAATTAGCAAAGGGCTTACGGCCAATCGGAAACACAAACTCTTGTTACAGAAACTAGTCAGCCATGTGAGCAAAGGAACTTTTTTTTTTTTTTTTTTTTTCTTGTGTTAGCTCAAGCACTTTATTGTGGATTGAGAGGAAGAGAAGTGTAACTGTGAAGGCAGGGGGAAGGGTTTTCTAATCACTCCTGCTCCCACCTTCAAAACGTACCTGCTCTGTGTGCATGATGGGCAACCAGGGTGAAGTGTAATTGGCTGCAGCCCAACTTTGTGGGACCTCTTCTGGCAAGATCAACTTGTTTTCTGATAGAACCACGTGTCTCTTTTTAGCTGATTATGATTTGATATATTTAAAGGGGCATGCCACTGATTTAAACTAAGGATATTTATCGGCCTGTGCTACTTCAAATTAGGCTTTTCTATTATCTAATTTTGATTTATCACACACGTTCTCTAACTTAATGGAAGTGTAATGTTAAATTGGAGGAATATCCCTTTAATTGCAGACAGTTGTGTTAACAGTTGTGTCTGGCATATGAAAAAATGGGCTACAATTTGAGTGCAGGCATTTTAAGGCTTCCTTGTCATTTACCATTGACATGATGTCAGATGCAATTGCTCACAAACATGAAACCAACATAATTTATAAAAAATACATTTTGATAAATTGCATAATACAGAGCTGGGGAGCTTTGATTGGCTTTAGTTAACGTGATAATTTTGCACTTGCAAACAGATAAGAGACGCTTGTCACATTGTTTCCATTGTTCCCCAGTTTTATAGGAGTGTAACAAACCCATGGGGATGTGCTGATTATGTTGCTCATAGTGAGGAGGGGTTCAAGTAAGTGACAGTGGCTCACTCTGCTCCCATTTGTCTGTAGGCCCGGACATGGAGGAGACAGGTGGCAGGCCCTTCTGTCACCACTGCAGTGCTGAACAACCAATCAGCAGCCACCTTAAACCCAGATGGAGTGAATTGTGAAACTGAATGGTTAATAAGTTTCATTTGACTAAAATACTACATTTTTTATGTGCTGTCAGTATATGTAGCTAATTTTTTTTAACAAAACTTGATGTTTGCAAACTTGTATATATTTGTATGTGGTGCATGTGATGATTCCATTCCTCTCTTTTTGGGAGGGGAGTGAGTGTGTGTGTGTGTGAGGTCACAGCTTGAGTTTTGGGGGTGTCCATGATGCATCAGATGGCCTGCCTGTCAGTCAAAGAGCACAAATCTTTACATGTACATAGATGAATTTGATACATTGTATTCATGTCTGCCAAGGGTTTGATAAGAAACCTATTTTGGCACAACAGGGGTGTGCCAAAGAATAAAACATAACTTGTGGCAGCTTCAAAACTTTACAGAGAACTATTTCTACCAGGACTGTTCATTGTTGAGATCAAGACATGTTTGTTTTGTGGGTCTTATGAAATTTTCGGAAATGAGCGTGATCTCTTTAGATTTCAAACTCATCTCCTAAAATGTCTTGATACTCCAGTTGTCACAATCTGCACTGCCTAGCATCCACCCTGTCCCTCTGCCTCCCCTCAAGTCATCTGCTGTCCTCCCAACGGTATATGTTCTGTTTGTATGTGTGAGTGTCTATAAACACGCGTGCACTTGCCATGTGTGCATTAAGGCCAGTAGTATACAGTTATTGATGGAAAAGGAGGTGCCTTCTTCTTGTGAAAGTAGACAGAGGCCTACTCCTTTGTACAGGTGTGAATATATTCTTCTCTGTGTACAAATGTTTATAAATGCATTCACAGGCACCCAGAGGTCCCTGGGCCTGTTCCTCTGATGTACTGTTCTTTTTCTGAGACATATCTGGGTTACAGTTTCCCTCGTCCTTGTCATGAGCACTCTGAACCACACAAAGCCTTTTACTGCGCACGGAGTGAAGAGGGACAAATAAAGCTGATGGAAACCCGCCTGACCCTTTGCTCTGTACTTTTTTTTTTTTTTTTTTATATCCATGGACTGTAACTGAAGATGGACTGTTTTGGATGAAGCATGGGTACCGAGTCAGCATTTTACCCTGTAGAACCTCTAGAATCTTGAATGTATGTACCCTGTTGTTTTACGCTTCTCCAGCTTGATCTGAATGCATTTTGAAGTCACAACCATGATAATGCAACTCTCCAAGCACCGATTTTTTTAAAGAGAAATGTCAACGTAATACTTGTGTCCCTCACCAAGGGGTGTCTGTCTTTGTTCTTTATGGAACACAAATACAGTCTTTGCTATTAAAAAGAGAAAACATTACAATGTCTTGCTGTGTTTTATTCTTTGGGCTTGGGTCTGTGTCGATTTCTCAGAGACTGAACGGTCAGACGAAACGATCTGAACTGAAAAACTTCATGTGATGATGATTATACAAATGATTAAAATATAATCAAATTGTACTAACGATGTTGTGTTGACCAATAAAATGATCCCTGCCTCGTTGCGGGTGTGTTTGTCTTACGAGATTTTATCTGACACTCTTAACCTGGTTCATCCACTTACCAACCAAGGCTTTATTATATTTTTGTGTGTGTATGTATAAATATATATACATACACACCATTGCGCCACCCATTCCTCTTTATGTTCATAGCTACACCAGCCTTCTGTTGACATGCTAGAGGGGAACAAACGGTGGTGTCAGTCAGTGGACCAACTTACAGTCACAAATCTGCTAGTGATGCTGGTAGGGTGTGGTGCCAGTTCATGCAACACGTGCTGTTGTATCTGGTTCATGATCACAGTACTACTTCAATATTCAACAGAAAAACCACTGACGATCAATAACATTATACACCACAGCACCCAGACCTTCACCACAAAAAACATACAGCACTAATGTTAACTGTGAATCAAAGCTGACACTGACAATAGAGCACTTTCAAGTATGTAATACTATTATTATTTCATATTTTGATAAATGAATTAATAAGTAAACAAATAAATAAATGACAGAATGAATAAATAGGAAATAATATATAAATGTATGAAAAGAATGAAATTAATTATAACTCAAAACAACAATTATCTCCTGCAAACTATTTCAGAGAAAAATGTATTTCCAATTGTGTGAACGCTTATTCAAACTTATTAAGTAACTTAATAAGTAACTAATTTAACTTGGGATTGATAGCAAACCACCTCAGAGTGTAACCCAGAGAATATCAGGATATTATATATTTGCTGTCTTTTCTCTAAATTTAGATAAGAATACAAATTAAACGAACTATTGCCACACAATTTCACTTCAGATTTATAACAGATCATCAAAAGGGTCACTCAAACAATATCAGGAATTCTTATGTGGAATTTCAAAATTAAAGCCCTTTAAAATCTCATTTATGAGCTATCTTCCCTCTAAATTCAGATTACAATTAAAAGATAACAGCGTATTATCACAAACTAATTTCATATCAGATTAATAGCAGACCACCAAGTGTCAGTCAGAGAATATCAGTACATCTGGATGGAGAATTTCAAAATTAAAGCCCTTTAAAAATAAGAAATAAAGCAAAATGTGGGAGGAATTAAAACAACTGAAAGAAACTTCGAAGAACCAATCATGTCAAAACTGAGGTTAGGGCACACAGGCTAAAATCATACAATGCATGGGGGGAAATCCATCACGTCTGTGTGAATGTGGTTCAGAAGAGGAAACAGCCAGAAGTGTGAAGCAAAGAGGGAAGCTAAAGAATGAATTAAAGAGTTGTGGGTGAGAGTATTGAATCTTAAGAAGTTATGTAGCATCGAGGAAGGAACATATTAAGTGTTTCAAATGTTTGAATTCACTTAAAGAAACTGGATTAATGGAGACGATTTAGTTTATATTTTAATATTATTATTTTTAGTTCATTTGTTTTCTCCTCGTCCCTATTCTACGGGAATAGCTCACTCCAGCATAGTAGGTATCGGTAATGCACCTTTAAGAATAGTTGCCACCCTCTATTTAATAAAACGAAGAAGAAGAAGAAGAAGCAGTAGCAGCAACACTAGCTTTAATACTAAAGCTGGTAGCAGCCTGTGGTCTGAGAGGTAACACTTTACAACAATAGCTGGTCTTCAGGTGTCATTGAGTGTTCATTGTTTCTTTTACAGTAGCCGAGTTAGTGTTTGTCAAAGCAAAGGTCTAGAATCTAGATGGTCATATGCTGAATAACTGCAGCTGACGTTATTTACCGTACAGTTCGGATAGTGCTAACGTTTGTAACGATAGATAACTTTAACGTTACTGTATTTAAAATGTATATATTCAGTTGCTTAACGGTAAAGGAAATGTATCTAAATGGGTGTGAAGTGTCATTACCGAACGAGCTGCTCGTTAGCTAACTAACGCTACAGCTAACTTTTTGTTTGTAGCGTTCATTAACTTAGCTACAGCTAACTAGCTACAGCTAATTAGCTGTTAACTAACTAGCTACAGCTGTAGCGCTAGTTAGCAATCGGCTAACTTCTTGGTAGAATTCTGTTAAATCAACCAGAACGTTATTGTTTGCGTCAAGGGAATTCAACGGGTGACGTTGGCTGTAAGTGTGACCATTTTTTATTTAAGATGTCTCGAGAACAGCTGGTTGTACAACGGGCCAGGAAGTCATTCCAGACGGGAAAAACCAAGCCTCTGGAGTACAGAATCCACCAGCTGAAGAACCTGCTCCGCTTCATCTCAGAGAGACGGGGGGAGATTGCAGATGCTGTCAAACGGGACCTCGGCAAGGTGGGGTATTTCAAACTCGACGAGGTTCCAGCAAGCCCTTAAAAACCCAGGGCCAGAGAAGTGGGTATTCTCTGCCCTGGGGAGTCATGGCAGCTCACTGGGGAGGATTGTAATATGTAGCAGAATGCATTTACCAACATTGTTCCAACATTCACTGCCAATATTATTTTTAAACTAGTCAAACTCGTTTAACGATTTGATTAAAACAAACAAGTTTGCAGCTAATAACACTGAACACAGCTAATTGTTGTTCAAGTTGCTCACCTATTTAGCTTCTGTTGTAATTTACACTTGTAGTGTAATTACATCTTACATTTTGTTATGTTACAGCCTTATTCCAAAATGGATTAAATTCATTATTTTCCTCAACATTCTATACACCACAACCCATAATGACAAAGTGAAAACTGTTTTTTGCAAATCTATTAAAAATAAAGAACGAAAACATAACATGTACATAAGTATTCACAGCCTTTGCCATGACACTCAAAATTTAGCTCAGGTGCATCCTGTTTGCACTGATCATCCTTGAGATGTTTCTACAATTTGATTGGAGTCCACTTGTGCTAAATTCAGTTGATTGGACATGATTTAGAAAGGCACACACCTGTCTATATAAGGTACCACAGTTGACAGTGCATATGAGAGCATAAACCAAGCCATGAAGTCCAAGGAATTATCTGTAGACCTCCGAGACAGAATTGTATCGAGGCACAGATATGGCGAAGGGTACAGAAAAATTTCTGCAGCATTGAAAGTCCCAATGAGCACAGTGGCCTCCATCATCCGGAAATGGAAGACGTTTGGAACCACCAGGACTCTTCCTAGAGTTGGCCGCCCAGCCAGACTGAGCGATCGGGGGAGAAGGGCCTCAGTCAGGGAGGTGACCAGGAACCCGATGGTCACTCTGACAGAGCTCCAGTGTTGTTCTATGAAGAGAGGACAACCTTCCAGAAGGACAACCATCTCTGCAGCACTCCACAAATCAGGCCTGTTTGGTAGAGTGGCCAGACGGAAGCCACTCCTCAGTAAAAAGCACATGACAGCCTGCCTGGAGTTTGCAAAAAGGCACCTGAAGGACTCTCAGACCATGAGAAACAAAATTCTCTGGTCTGATGAAACAAAGCTTGAACTCTTTGGCCTGAATGCCAAGCGTCATGTCTGGAGGAAACAAGGCACTGCTCATCACCTGGCCAATACCATCCCTACAGTGAAGCATGGTGGTGGCAGCATCATGCTGTGGGGATGTTTTTCAGGGGGAGGAACTGGGAGACTAGTCAGGAATGAGGGAAAGATGAATGCAGCAATGTACAGAGACATCCTCGATGAAAACATGCTCCAGAGCGCTCTGGACCTCAGACTGGGGCGACGGTTCATCTTCCAACAGGACAACGACCCGAAGCAAACAGCCAAGATAACAAAGGAGTGGCTTCGGGACAACTCTGTGAATGTCCTTGAGTGGCCCTGACTTGAACCCGATTGAACATCTCTTGAGAGATCTGAAAATGGCTGTGCACCGACACTCCCCATCCAACCTGATGGAACTTGAGAGGTTCTGCAAAGAAGAATGGGAGAAACTGCCCAGAAATAGGTGTGCCAAGCTTGTGGATTCATACCCAAGAAGACTTGAGGCTGTAATTGCTGCCAAAGGTGCTTCAACAAAGTATTGAGCAAAGCCTGTGAATACTTATGTACATGTTTGTTATGTTTTCGTTCTTTATTTTTAATAGATTTGCAAAAAACAGTTTTCACTTTGTCATTATGGGTTGTTGTGTGTAGAATGTTGAGGAAAATAATGAATTTAATCCATTTTGGAATAAGGCTGTAACATAACAAAATGTGGAAAAAGTGAAGCGCTGTGAATACTTTCCGGGTGCGCTGTATGTGATTAGATACTACCATGCTGCTCTCGGCCTTTAAAGAGTAATGCACACTTTTAAAGAAGCACAAGCTCCACAGGCACGTGTATACTCAGTCAATTTCAAGCTCCGTTAAACAAAATGGTAGAGTTGGAGGTAAAAAAACAAAAACTATCTCTATATTTTTCAGTTTTATCTTAAAGGCAGGGTTGATTATCTTGAGAAACTAGAAAGAGAACGCTAGATTTAAAAAAAAAAAAATCATCCAACCTAAAACCCCAGCCCAGTGTTGCAAACTATTTTCCAATGAATGTATCTAGCAGCACTAGCTCCAAAAGTTGTTAAACTTAGCAAGAATGTCGCCAACACTGGCAGCCTCCTCTAGTTCCATTCCCCTAAAATTATTATTATGAATTTCATAATGAACGTAAACAACGAACATGGCTATTGGTAGTACTCGCAGCTATCAAGCTAGCAGCTTGTGGAAGACTCTGGTGACAAGCAATGAGTTCACTGGACGAATATGCGCAGGAAGACAGACAGGTAGCCCGTCCAATCACTACATTGGACTGAATGAAATGATTGGACGGGTTTATTACAGTGCTGCTAGAGCCACAGATGCATGTCTTGGTAAATGGACTGTACTTGTATTTCTCTTTTCTAGTCTTCCAACCAGTCAAAGCGCTTTAACACTACATGTCATCATTCACCCATTCATACACTGATGGCAGGGGCTACCATTCAAGACGCCACCTGTCCATCAGGGCTATCTAATATTCACACACCGTAGGCACAGCCTTCAGGAGCAGTTTGGGGTTAAGTGTGTTGCCCAAGGACACATCTAGGAGCCATGGATTGACCCGCTTTACCTCTGAGCCACAGCTGTCTTATCAGATCATTTGATTCATTGAATGCTGTCAGGATGTAATAAGAATTTCAAGATTAGCAACCCTGCCTTTATAAAAATATTTTTCTTATGAGTACAGTCATATACCTGTAGCATCCTGGATTTGAACCAACGTCTACAAATTTGGAACAAAATGTATTGTAATAATTTGAGATAAAATAGGATCAAAATTGCTGCCAGACTGCACAGTACATACATACAGCAGCTTGCCAGCAAGCAGGACAGCAAACTGTTTTTTGAGCGCAGTGAAAATGTTGTTTCTGACAGGCCTAATGCCAACAAAAATGGATTGAAGCAGAAGATTTTGTCAGATAAAGAAATGTGTATTTTAGAAATGATGAAATCAGTTTTTTTTCAATACATTTTGACTTTTAGACTTAACGCTCTGGAGTTATTGTAACGTTTGGATCACACGAGTCAGAAACGACAAAGCCACCATTGAAATCAAATTCTACAAATCGCATAATAATATTAGTGTTGCCTGATCTTCATCAGATACCGGGCAACAAAAAAGCATAATAGAAGCTGAGCCGCATTCAAATGTTTATTTAGAATTGGAATATCAACGTTGTGAACAAAGCTTTAAACTCTTCGGTACAACCCTCACACAGTTATGAAATATCTTACCAATGGATGAAAGGCCTTGCTGGATGTCCTCACTTTCACCCTCATTCATCCCACTTATGGATGTTTGTCCAATGATTGCAGCAAGTCTCTCATCTCTGGCCGACAGATCAGATGGTCCTTATTTGTCTTCTGGTTTGTTATCCTTTTTTTTTTTTTTTTTTTTTTTTTTTTCCCGCATACACTTTTTAAATTCAAACCATTTCTTTTTTTTAACTGAGCCAAAGTCCGCATCTCAGGTGATGCAACATTTACTGCCTCGCAGTTGTCTCAATTTCTGCAGTAGTTTTGTTTTTTTAAATTTTAATGTAGGGGCTATTCTTCTGTCATTTATGTCAACTTCACAGCTTTATCCTTGATAAACTTTTGATAAAAGTATTTCCTTTATATAGAGAAATCTGGGTTTGGCAGTATGCTGATTGTCGATTTGCCGGTGCACACGTCAGCAATTTGACGGTAATTTTGCATGTGAACTTATTTTGTGCTCAAAGTAAGAACATTTCCACACGCATATTGGTGAATGAGGGCCACAGACGTTAAAACCACGTATCTGAATAATGTCTTTGGACAACAAAGTGTGCCGTCCCGGTTTAATTTGTTTTGTGCATACAGAAGATGAGAGCATGTTACAACTCGTTTGCTCTGTACTCAAGAGATCCCACAGATGATAATAAGACTTGAGACCGCGGTTAACCTTGTCTTTTAAATGCGATTGTTGTGATCAGATGGTAACTCAGCTGATTCCACATGTGTGTCCACAATTGATACTTCAAAGCAACCTGGCAGATTGGATAGTGGTCAGAGGAGTGGCTGTGAAATGGTGGATACACATTTTATTTTCAATTCAAGTCTCCCATTATTTTATGCTGCTTACTCTTCCTCCCTGCCATATTGGTAGACTTGTTTAATTGAAGAATAGCCACTAACAACCGCTAATTGAGCGGTAAACACATTTTCCTATATATTAAAAGTCCCCTGTGACTTTATTTTGAAGCAGGAAGTCAGGAAATGTTGGGTTTTTCATCGGCAGTAACTTAACAGGACCCAGACAGCAGGTCTCAGCTGTGCTCCATCCTCAGTTTTCCACCCTTGGGGGGGGGGGAAAGTTGATGGAGACCTGCTTTCGAAGAGAATTGTCTGGATTGTCCCTAAATACTGCCTCACCTCACCAAGATCCGAACTCAATGCGAGCCAAGCCACCTTCGCATGTGGTCTGACAATGCGAGCAAGATCCCAACAAATATTGCTTTGAAAAGACGCGTGTAACCTTTTGAGGTAAAATGTGATACATATAGAGTAACTGTGATCCATGTGTTTCTGCGCGACAGATCAATAAACGTGAATTTGAATAAATGAACATACAAACTGAAGATGAGCACTACATTTAGTCCCTCCTTATGCTTTCAGAGTGCACGTGGGACTGAGCTGTTTGAGACGCTGGGACTGGAGGGAGAGATCAATCTGTCTATGGAGAAGCTGGCAGAGTGGGCGGCTCCTCGGCCCGTAGAGAAGAGCCTCCTCACCATATCTGACGAGGTCTATGTGCAGCCGGAGCCTCTGGGAGTGGTGCTCATCATCGGGGCCTGGAACTACCCGTGGGCCGTCACCCTCCAGCCGCTGGTTGGAGCTATCGCTGCTGGTACTAAACATACCCATACACACCCATATGTATTTGCAAATAGGGGTACTGGTCTTATTAAGTGTGCATAGCGTAGATGTTGTAGCTACAGGGGCTACATGTGTGGGCTACATGTGTAGACTCTTGATGCATTGCAATTCGGTATATATGTTTTAAAAATTATTAATGAAGGCAAATTGAGATATTAAGAGTTACTCCTCCCTACCTGAAGGCCACTGTAGTTCTCTGACACACTTGGAAAGGGAGGGATGAGCAGAGGGTTATTCAGTTGGTAGCAATCTGCAACCTCACCACTAGATGCCACTAAATCTCACACACTGGTCCTTAAGGGTTTGTAGCGTGAGCGGATCCCGCCCAACGGAAAGAAGGGCAGGATCACACCTAACACGGTGGTAACTCCGTCAGTAGTCCGACTTTAGGGGATTAGTGTCCCTGAGTCGGGAGTCTACCTTCGGCCTTTTATCTCACCCTGTAGCTGAATCGTTAGGATTTCAGAATTATTGTCTTTCTGAGAGTCTTGTACGGCTACGCCCAGAGGCACTCTCAGTAGGATGTAACCCTAACACCCAGTATTAGTTGCGTAGAACGTCTGTACCTTACTACTGCCTATTGTGGTTTTCTCACCATTGTTGACTAACACTGCCAAGTCTTCACCCAGGGATCTCTTAACAGGTTGGACAAAACGGCACTAGATTAAATACACAAAGGGAGATTAAATATATGTCTTGTTTGGCCTGATTGAGATCACTTTAATAGATGTATCACTAATTATTATATCCTCTGCTCAAAGCTAATAAAATCAGTTTGATAAAGTATGAAACACTGTTAATTACCTAAATTTACATCATTAACGGGTTTGTTCTTATTTTAGATCCATTTTTGAAAATGATGCCGTGTTAATATCCAGCAAAACACATTCCATACATGTGAGCAGCTTGACTCCTTGTCGTTCAGTGCGTGTGCGTCAGGTATTATAAAACAGCAAGCAGAATATGCTCTCTGATAAACTAGGAACTTTCTCAAAATAATGTATTACAGGATTCACTGAGAATTGTGGGTGGTCCCTTGCTTCGCTTGTCCCATCGTCATTAGTTGTTCCTTTTATTGGCGAAAGGCTTTTTTCTTCTTTACTACACAAAGTGCTTAATGGTGTGACCAAAGCAACCGTGAAGGGAACTTTTCGCACAGCGTAATTACATACAAAGTCGATGCAAGGAAGTTGAAATGGTTCAACCTGAGTGAGGAATTTGCGTGATGCAATGTCGTGAAACCCCATCAGCGATGACATTGTTCTCCTGTCGTCCTGACATTGCATCAGACACGTAGAAAGACAGAGAGCTCTACGATCATATCTCTACCTCATATTTGTACAGAGGGTTAAATAATGCTGTATTTAGGCCTATATTCTGTTTTCATCGTTGATGGAGCAGCTGCAGTGTTAGCAGAAAGCTTATCGATTTAAAAGTTGTTCGCGTGTCATCTTGAGGATGGACCAGACAAAGCATGAACTCACACTACCAATCGGCATCATAATGCAGTTATCGCAGCATCCTTTTGATCCGTTTCTTGCAATTAAACACGGCACACTGTTTATTTTGTGTTCATATCGAGACCTAATACATAATGTTCACCACTTTAGAAAACTTTATAAACCTAGTCATAAGTTTTCATGCATGAATATAAACAATTAGAAAAACTTTTATTTCCCTGATAACTACAATACATTGTCAAGTTTTACCAAGATTCTTGCTACCACAAACATGTTAATGATGCATTGTAGTTTCAGCTTTTAACAAAGAAAATGGAAATTAATGAATACAAGAGGTTGGTAACTTTATATCAAACAGTGTTCATTCCTCTGAAGTGTATTGCATTGTCCTTACATTGTGTGGAAAGACTGGACACATTTTTTTTTTATGCAGCTATTCATATACAAATTAAGACAAACTCCAACTTATTAGCCATTTTGTATAGTATGTCTGAACATGTAATATTAACAGCGCACATGATTCAATTCCAACTTAAAGTCCTCTGTCAAGCAAAGACTTACAAACCTCATTTAACTATTACCTGTATGTTTTCAAGAAAACTATGCTGCGTTATATGAAACATGCCAAATATTGAAGTAGACATGCTGCAAGTCTTAATAGTGTTGGGAAAATAATAATAATGATAATGTTTAAGCGTCCTTGGGTAGAAAATACATTTGCCAACGGTAGCTTAAAATCTCTTTGTATTAAAGAGTTCCTTCAAACACTTCCTAGGAGCTTATTACAAGAATCTATTGGTGCAAGTAGTCCAGACACACCAAAGGTAGAGGATATGAAGAGGATTTCCAGGGGAGGCACTTTCCCTGTTATGAACATTTACAAAGCAGCAATAGTGGTTATTTCAGCCATGGCTGGTGAAGAGTGACACAAATGATCCCACGAGTAACGCCAGGTGAAAATGGGCTTTGCGTAACGATTGTGATCGCTCACGTTGTCGCTTTCATCTTTTAGGTAACGCTGCAGTAATAAAGCCATCCGAGGTCAGCTCCCACTCCGCCAAGGTCATGGAGGAACTTCTGCCTCAGTATCTCGACAAAGTGAGCCTCCTGCTTCGTTCAACATGATTCATCTCTTTAGCTACATGGGGTGTTAATGACTGCATATTTTCCACCTAGGATCTGTACCCAGTGGTAACAGGTGGAGTGTCAGAGACCCAGGAGCTGCTGAAGCAAAGGTTTGACCACGTCTTCTACACAGGAAGCAGCACCGTGGGTAAACTGGTGATGGAGGCTGCGGCTCGCCACCTCACCCCGGTGACCCTGGAGCTGGGAGGGAAGAGCCCCTGCTACATCGACAAGGACTGTGACATTCGTATTGCATGTCGGTCAGTCTGAACTGTAAAATGTATCACAAAAATGCTGCCATTACATGAGCTCCATTGCAACTTAAAAAAACAGCTCAACACACAGCACTTGGGGAGCTACGGCAACGTAAGTGTGTGTCTTCAAGGTTTGAGGCTCTTTCATTATTGTTTCTCCCAATACAGACGCATCACTTGGGGAAAGTTTGTCAACTGTGGCCAGACGTGCATTGCTCCAGACTTCATCCTGTGTGAAGCCTCCATCCAGAGCCAAGTAATAGAAGAGATCAAGAAGTGCATCAAGGTTGGTCTAAGATTAGGTTTGTAATGTGTCAGTTCTTATCAGAAGGGAATCTGACACATCATCTAGCTATAAAGCAAGACATTTCTGTCTGTGTGCTCTTCGCATATCTCAAAGAGCTCATGTGATCTACTGAGTGGGTGTAATACTGGGGACCGCGGCGGGCAGACAGTAGCTCATTGACTGCAGTTCTCTTTAGGCGCTGGAAGTAGGGGGCCATGGGGTCATTGGCCCTCCTACATTACTATAGTCATTCCAGTCCGACCAGTGTGTGTCTAAACCGGAGGCTGTGGGAAGAGTTTTTTTTTTTTACTCGAGTCTACAGATTCGCTCTCATTCTAATCTGTGCAGCCAGCTGTCTGCACGGCTCTGTCTCAGCTGTGTCTGACGAAGCCGTGACTCGCGCTGAAGCATTTATTTACACTTCAAGACACAACACTTGCATTTCCTCTTAATTGAAGAAAACGGTTCATCCGGGTGGGTGGAGGATTTATGCGTACACGCAGATTCTCCCTAGTAATCGGCATGTGTGGAGCGACAGCCCACATGTCCCATCATGGAGTGCTGGACTGAGTATTGTGTTAAGTTTGCTGAAGTTTTCCCGCTGCAGACGACAAGCACAAGTCCACAGATTTGTGTAGTTGCCTCACAAAAACAAGTTAAGATCGACAGGGGAAAATCTTGCGTAGATCAGTCAGTGAACGTCTGAGTTGCAGCTTGAACCTTTTACGGCATGTAAATTCACGCAAAGCCAGGTCTTCACTTGGACAAGTAACTCATAAGACATGGTTTGAGAAGGACCGGGATCCGCCACCGTCCAGTTAACTTGACGTCAATCTCTGCTGGAGGAGTGGTCGTTTTCCAATGCCGGGGAGCTGGGGCTGCTTGGCTGGGCACACCGCAGGGAGGTCACCCTCCCAGCTGCACAGGGTGTCGTTGCCCCGTGGTGGGCCTGCCTCTAAGGCCCAGCAGCTGCCTCCTTGCTGTTTTCAGTAGTTTTTTTATCTTTTCAGTGAATCCTCTACACTCCACCACTTATGCAATAAGAAGCTACCCTTTATGTCATTCTCTTAATCAGTTGTGTGTTTTCATACAAAATGAGCTTTTCACACACTACCACAGCACAGCCAAATATCTGATGACTGTGGTGTTATATATTTAATTCAGTCTTGATTTGGGTTTTTACATTTAAAAGGGTTGTAAATCTAGCACACCAGTCAATTTGAATCAAATAATACATTGTGGTTGGTGGAAATGCTGAGTGGCTCGTAACTTTGGAAAATCACCAGCCACAATGGCTTGTGGGCAGAAACAGTCCAGCCCTGCCTACAGGTTATGTTATGACACAAGCCATCTTTTTCAGGTCGTAGTCCTCGACAGCCATAGTTGGTCATTGATCTTAGTTAAGATATATTGTGCTAAATTCTGACATGCATTTTTATACTTCTTTTCCATGTGTACACAGAGACTGGTGATGACAATGTGTCTGAAAGTCATGGCAGTGTATTGGTAAAGATATGTGACCCTGTTGTAAGTAATCTGAACATAATCGATCTTCTATTTTACACAATGCAGGAGTTTTACACAGATAATCCAGAAACGTTTGAGGACTACGGACGCATTATAAACCAGCGGCACTTTAAGAGGCTCATGGCTCTAATGGAGGGGAGCACAGTGGCTGTTGGTGGAAACAGTGATGAGTCCCAGTGCTACATAGGTACATGCTTTGACCAATTGGTTGCTAAAAATCATTTGTCCTGTGTTTTGGGCAAGCAGCTAAAGTTCTGTTAACTGAATTGATTGTGGAGGTGGTTAGTTCAAGAGTCTGGCTGATTAGCCCATGGCTTATTGATGCTAGGCCTTACTGGCATGCACATGGTGTTGATTAACACTCTTAAGAAGTGGCTTTGCTCAATGACATAGTGCCCCAGACTACTTGGGGTGGCTGTGGCTCAGAGTTGGAGTCTAATCAGAAGGTCCGCGGTTTGATCCTCGGTTCCCCCAGTCCGTGTGTGTGTGTGTGTGTGTGTGTGAGTGTGTGAGAGAGAGAGAGAGAGAGAGAGAGAGAGAGAGATCAGGACTTAGTCCTTATGGGTGGCATGGTAGCCCCTGCCATGAATGGGTGAATGTCATCTTAAAGCAGTTCATTTTCCGTTCAAATGATTACTCAAACTATAGAATCATTACTGGCCACAATCTAAGAGTAAGACAGTAGAAGTCTACACTGTGACGAAGAGGGCTTTCCACAAGTATGCCAGCCTGTGGGAAAAAGTCAGCTAGGGGGGCGTTGGCTGTAAAAGACCAAATTTGGTGGCTTGTGGCACATTCTAATGCCATTATTCCATCATATACTCATCTTTATTATTGAATATTTAATGAGTTTGCCTACCCAATTGTAAACTAACACTTTCTCACTCCCAACTCGTGAAATAGCGGCACTTGGTCAGTGGCCCTAAGCTGTAAACTATGACGCTCTAGGGACCTCTAGCATTAGCTTTGGACTTTGGTCAGTTTCCTCTTGTTAAATGCAAAGTGTCTTTTCAAATTAAATTTCCAGGTCCGTCTGTTAAGTAACTTGCATTAGTAAAGTACAGATGTTGCGTAACAAAACTAAGGGAAAATGACATTGACTTGGTTTCACACGAGACACAAATAGCGGTTTCCTGGGTGAAGGTCCTTTGGTTGGTTGGTTTTTATTTTATTTCTTTTAAAAGAGGCCATTGTGTCGGCCCAAAAGGCTCGTGGGCTCACTGGGAAAGTGTCAGTTTTTCCAGATAGATGTCTCTGAAAAGTGTGTAGCTTGTTTCTTCATAAACTATAGCAGGTGTGGTCATCTTGGATTCATAACAGTGAAAGGCATTCCAATTGTTACCCAGTTTTGTTTGTTGTATAATGGCAAATGTTTCTGCTCTCTGTAGATGTACTGTATGATCTAAAACCTGTATGATCAAACTATTAGACACTGTCCAAACAACAAGCCTATTTTTGCACCATTTCAGGAGCTTGTCTCGTCTGTTTTGGTAGTTGAAAAGGTGTTGGGTATGTTGTTGCACCTCATTAGCTGAACTGATAGGTGCAGGCACAGGTCAAAATAAACGTGCACAGATTTGCGAGACAGTAAACTAATGACATTGAAGATATTCCTATTCCAAACTCCCTCTCATCCATATGTAAAATGTTGATTACCTTTCAGTCCATAACAGAATAGGCTAACATTTTATTTCTTGCCATGGTACAACTGGCAACCATAACACTACGCCATCTTGTTTGTCCACTGTACATAAAGCAGTGCCCGTACTCTTGGAGTAAGCCTCTTCTTCCTCTCTCCTGGCAGCCCCCACTGTGTTAAAGGATGTGACGGGGGAATCCACAGTGATGAGGGAGGAGATCTTCGGGCCACTTCTGCCCATCATCACTGTTAGTGGTGTAGACGAGGCCATCCAGTTTATTAACGAGAGAGAGAAACCTCTGGTTATATACATCTTCTCCCATGACAACAAGGTAAACGCGCATCCCCTTTATTCAAAGTTAGTATTTAAAAAAATGAGTTGTCTGTGAATTTATAATTGTAATGTGTTGATAAGATTGTACCACAGTGCTCTGTCTGATGGACTGTTTGTCTCTAATGAACAGCTGATCAAACGGGTGATAGCAGAGACGTCCAGCGGAGCTCTGCTGGCCAATGACTGCCTGGTACACTTCACTGTTGATGCTCTGCCCTTTGGAGGAGTTGGTGAGTGTGTACCAGTTCAACCAACCTGCAGCTATTCAGCCTCTTTTTGATTTGGAAGAACAAAGCTGACGCACATGTATAGCTGACTTGTTCTTCCGTCTCTCGCTCAGGTAACAGTGGGATGGGTTGTTACCACGGTCAGTACAGCTTTGACCAGCTCAGCCACCTGCGCAGCTGTCTGATCAAGCAGCTGAAGATGGAGGGAGTCAACAGCATGCGCTACCCCCCCCACACAGCCAAAAAGCTGGGCTGGGCGCGGTTCTTTCTGCTCAAGCGGGTCAACGTGTGCAGGCTGCGGCGCATGGCACTGCTGGCCACGTTGGCTGGCTTGGCAGCGTTTGCGGTGCAGGTAAAGCAACTGAAATATCCCAATTCGGTCAGAAGAGCAGCAACAGGTTTTGCTTTGATATGGGCAATGTGTTACTTAACACGTTAGTTTCTAGGACGTTTCCTGTAAAGAACAATTTGGTAGTAATTACAGGGGGGTTGAAGTTCTGAGACATCTGAGTTTAGTGCACTTTGTTCAGCTTATGATCAGTTTTCCATAAGAATTTCCTTGAAACGGCCGCTGCATTTGTACCCAAGTAACTATTGAGTCATTATTCAACACTTTATTCTCTGTGTTAAAATCCAATGCTTGCTTGCCTGTAGACTCATTTCACTTGCTTGCTGTGAAATGACTAAAAGAGTCTCTAGATCACGTAGCATATGAGAGGAGTAGATTAATTGAATAATAAGTTGATCATGGTCTCCATTTCTCTTATGATTAGTACTGAATGACATCGTCCTTTTCAGGAACCTTCCTATGAATTTACAGATACAACTCGGTGTTCCTTTACACTGGTCTGTAAGATAAAGCATCACCATGAGTTATTGTTGGGACAAATGCATAAAATGCAATAACACCATTTTTGTAAGATTTTGTAAGAGTATGAAAACAATAAAACAAAAATGCATATTAAGTATCATCCTCATTAATATTATTAGTGTCGGATTACATAACTTTAAAATCCTTTCTTGGAGTCTGGTCATTTTTCTGAATAAAAAGCCCGTCTATCACACCATGGGTTAGTGATCAACCCAACGACCGTAAGCTTTGGTGACAACTTCTCATCAAAATGACCAATGGTTGCCAATGTTGCTGCTAGTAAGACTCCTGTTACCTTCGAGGGCAACACCATTAAAGTACTGTATTAAAAAATAAGACCAAACTAGAAATGTGTTTATTAGTCTTTTAAAGCTTTCTCCTCCTGTCCATTGGTTCCTATTGAAGATGTAAATCTTCTAGTAATGTATCGTTTCATTTTTTAAAAGGCTCGGTGACGATGAGAGCCAGGCGCTGTAGCTTTAAGCAAAGAGAAGTGCGTTTGATGGGGACTGTTTTAAAAAGACTTTAGTCAACAGTGGAGCTCTATGGCTCAGAGGAATACGATATATCAGGCTTTGGATAGACACAGTACTTGTTAGTAACACCAATCCATTGATGGTTTTGGTGTTTTCATTTGTTGAGTCCAAGAAAAATACAGAATCCTTAAACCATATCCTTCAAACTGTTGTCATGCTAGAGGGATAATGTGCATCGTTCTTGTGTGCTGAACCTGGTGCAGTGTTTCCACAGTCACCGACTTATTTAAAGGGCCAGTGTGTAGGATTTAGGGGTAATATGATATTCATAACTATGTTTTCATTTGTGAAACTAAGAAAATGAGTTTTCGTTAGCTTAGATTGAGCTGTTCATATCTACATCTTGACATGCACAACTGAGCAAGGAGAAGCTCTGATCACAACACACAGAGCTAGAGCGACAGCTGATTTGGGAGTGAAGAGTCTTCCTGACCGGCAGGCCCCAGCAGCCACACCTCATCACTGGTGCACCACAGGGCTGTCTGCTCGGCCTCCTTCTGTGCTCCCTGTTCACTTACGACTGCATGGATTTTTTTACACTGAAATGACAACTGACACATAAGCAGAGAAAGCAACGGTTTTAAAGTTCAGAAACAATATGATTGGCCCAGCGAGGTTGTTTTAAATTCTGACTTGAAAGAGTGCACGCTCATGGCCAGCTGACTGAGTAGAGTTAAGAGAGTGGGAGACGGAGTGAGTGTGTGAACGAATGAGGGCATGAAGAGTCTTCCTGACTGAATGTCCGCTCTGCTAATTTGTGTCACAGAAAGCCTGTTTGTTGACTAGTACACTTGTGTAAACACCATAAAGAAATTGTATTTGAAAGCCAAAAGACGGAACCTGCTCCTCACCGGTACTCTCAGATCTACCGTTTTACTCTTTGTACCTTGACTTTTGTTTGTGCACTGTAGTAATTCTAACGGTCCAAAATGATGTGAAATGGCATAGTTTAAGTCAAAGACCATAACATTAACTTGGGGAAGAACTCAATAACTCTTTATCGTTTATTTATTGTGGGAATTCAGAATGTTTGCTCCTAATGCCGGCTGATACCGGCAGATACACACCAGCATGTGAATGACGGGAGTTTCTTGCACTTGTTTATTTCCACTGCAAGCATGAAGTACTTGAATGGTTGGTAATAACTCCATAATAAAGTTTATAATATATATAATTAACCTTGAAAAGGCATTGTTCTTGCCGCAGAAAGCGTAGTTGACTGTTAATAATTGCATAATAAAGGCTTTATTAACCTTAACAAGGCATTGGTTTTGCCCTAGATCCGGTAGCCATAAATATAGTTGACTCTTAAGTGTAGTTAACTGCTAATAAATGGATGATTAAGTATGTATTAATCTCAATGAAGCAACAAAAAGGCTGAGTAAAGGTTTAACAATGACATAAAAGGTAAACTCAAATGTTTGTGACACTATTACAAGGCTTTTATTAACGTCTATAAACAGTCAAGCTTATAAGTGCTTATAATTGTCTTATAATTTAACATTACATGTGTTTATGATGCTATTAACAATTATATCGTCTTTATACACTGTTATTACACATCTTATAAAGGCCTTATTACCTGTTAAATAATGCTCCTTACAAGGACCTTTTATATAAAGCATCACTGAATGGTTCTGCTCAAAAATGTGTCTTCAAAAATCAAAAAGATCCACCATGTTATTCTAACAACAGTAAATGTAATTCATCTGTGCTTGGTTATTAACTAGGCTACTTCTGTTTGGTGGAGTTATTCAGAAACACTTATTTTAATTAGTTATGTAGGTGAAAACTTTGTGTCATTTAATTACATTGTGTAATTGGGTCATGTTTGACATGTTAGAAGCAGAAATTATTGCTTTATGTATATTTTCTGAGACAGAACACATAACGTGTGTTTCGGCTATTACACCATAAAAGACAGATGTTTGACCCGGGGATAATTGCAAAGGTAATCAAGGTTCTATGTGATCCCTGGCAACATCAAGTAACATATTTAAAGTATACCATTATATACTTAATGGATGAAGGTAAATAATTGGTAATAATTTATGTTTACATTGGTTTTCTGGGGCATTCTTCAATATAAAACTATTAGATATGATCTGTGTTAAATATATATTTGCACTTTAAGGGCAATAACTTTCTAAAAATCCAAACAAAGTCAATCAACATTTGTCATCATTGAATTTTCTGCACAAGTTAGTTTAAGTAACATGTTTTACCACGAGATCCATGATGCATATCAGCTCATAGATTGAAACCTTGAGGTCCCCAGACTTCTGTACTTATTTCAAATGTTAAAGCGTCCCACATCCACACATTATGGTCAGTATTCTCTGCAGCATGTTGCATGAAGTGGCCTGGTGAAGCACTTTGGTACTTCTGTACCTCTGAATATGAACACGTGTGTTAGGGTTAGCCACGTGCCTAGTGGCTGCAGCACCTGCACTGGATAGTATGCTCCCTCCATCACCTCCTGATCCGCCTCCTGTGCTGTGTCAGCTCGGCTTTTCACCCTGGTTTGCTACAGTATATATTTTAATATATAATGAAAGAGGGTATTGGGACCAATAAAAAAACATGAAACCTTGTTATTGAAATTTCTGCTGGGTTGGGCCCTTTTAGAGTTTGATTTATTGGACTATTCTTAATTTAGGTGGTGTTCTCTTTCGACACCACTTGATCATTGTGTTGCCCTACAGCCATTGGATGACTGGTGGCCGTGGATCAGAGATCTTCCAATCAGAAGATGGGCGGTTCATATCAATGTGTCCCTGGGCAAGACACTTAACCCCGAAGGCTGTCCCATCGGTGTACGAATATGAATATGATTGCAATATGATGCAATGGGTGTGAATGTGTTTAGTCCTGATGTGCAGGTGGCACATTGCGTGGCGGACCTTGCCAGCAGTGTGGGAACGGTTGGGAATGGGTGAATGATGACCTGTAGCTTAAAGGCGCTGTACTTAAAGTCTGTTTACCATTCAGCATGTCACTAATGACTTGTCTTACAGAACAAGATGTAGTTGTCCTGTAAGTGCTAATTCTTTGTTAATAATTGACATACTTTATTATCCCATCGTTTCACCCAGGACTCAAACGTGAGACTGTATTCAGTATTAATCAGTGCCAGCATGACTGGAGAAAGGCTGATGGTATCATATTCACCTTAACAGCAGGAAATCTTTGTGTTTTATGCAACAGTTATACTTTATGTAACAATTGGAAAAACTATTATTTTGACGAGAGATGTGTATTTTTTAACAGTAGGGTATTTGTGTGATGACCTTTTAAATAACGACAAAATACAGTTTCTCAAGATAACCAGATATTCGTACCTCCCCCCCATACCCACAATCCTACAGGCCTGTACCGTCTTACAACAATGGCTTTGTCTACGGCAGACAATGTGTGGTGTTGTCCAAGAAATCTAACCTCATAATGCCCCCCCATCTACCCTCCCTTTAATTACCCAGCATGCTCCACTGTCCTCTGCTAAATGGCCCCTTTTGTTTTGGTCCACCCCACCACCTTTGTTGACATCTACACTTGTGCTTCTGTGAGTAATGAAACTATCTGTTATCCATGTGTCTCAAACTGTCTCTTTACACTTGTATGGATCTCCCGTTTCTTGCAGAGATTCCTACAATGAGGCTGAGGAGCAGAAGCTGGTGGCCCGCGTTGAAAGCTGGTGGTGCAGGTGATCGTGGGACTGCCACCCGACTCCTGACCTGTAGTATAAATACAGCACTCCTGTGATTTACTGGTCCATTACATTTCCCATTTATGCATTACTGTAGACTGATTTCTGTCTCTTATTAAATATATGGTTTTATAGCATTTCAAGTATGTTACATCTGAAGCTGCTACCAGAGTTTAATATTGTTTCACAGCATGGTTGTAGCACTATAATTTGCAATATTGGTATCGAATTTGGTGATTGGAGAGTTTTCATTTAGTTTGTGAAATTATGAAAAATTCCCTCACTGGTAATAAATCTGTGTAACATGTCTGCTTTTAATGTTTTTTGTTTCTGCAAATATGCATAAACACAAAAAGTATATTATAAATCACTGTCCTGCTGTTGTTTTATCGATTAACTAATTTATGATTTGATATATCTTAACTGGCATATTATTAACACAATCCCAAGGTTATTGTAATTTATGACATGCTGCTATGGTTTATATGCTGGTATTCAGAGACATTGACCTCCATGAGGACGCTCTGGGTAAAAAATTAGCTTAACTACAGGCTGTAAAGGAGAGGGGGGGGTCTGATGTTATCAAAGGTCTCACTGCTTCAGCTGCTCTGAATGAAGCTGGTGGCTACAGTGAGCAAGCTCCCCGGTAAACTGATCCCAGAGCAGCTGACCGGTAACCAGTGGACAATGACAGTCAGTCAGTCAGTCAGTCCGCAGCGTGTCGGGCTTCTGAAGCGCTTTCACATCGGAGCAGTGACGGATCACTGAACCAATGCTTACTGAGAGTCCACCGCGTGTTTGACCCGAGGCTGCTGGTGAGTCGACTTTTTCTTCTTTCTCAACTGTTCCGAATCAAACGAGCTCTCAATCGCGATCATATCGAATGTTCATATTCGATATGATCGCGTTTAGATCGCAGATCTCAGTTAAATAATAACAGAGGTTACATATACAGGATGCTGTCAAACACATGCTTCATGTGAATACATGCCCATCAACACGGACCACAGGAGCTTTGGAAAGGTCGGGGTACAAATAGATGCAGATTTTAATGCCATCATTCAGCAAAAAAACAACTTTGCTTCTGCTGATGCTGTGGTATTACTTCAGCAATGACGTGAGAGACTCACATTGTAGACTGATGGAAGTTGGGCTATAATATTTAGGGTCGAGTCTTCTACAAATAACTGTTGGTTCTATCAGACTGACAACAAGCCACCCAATGGAAATAAAACCATTATAGCCGAGCCTATGTAAAATAGCTTTACTTCTGAAAAATACATTCTAAAAGCCAAAGTGTCATGGGTGAGGATTTGAGCATTTTAATAAAGAAAACGAAATACTTTTTATAAAGGCATCAAATCTCAAAGAAATGTCAGCAGAGATCTTTGTACATTGTTTTAGAAGAAACCAAAAACCCAAATCTGGTTAAAGAGGAAACAACGTTATATCCTTTTTAATACCCTATACCTGTTGCCTACTTTGCTTAAAAACTGAGCAGACATTGGAGTTGTCTGCTATAGTCTTTCACTTGTTTTGCACATTACAACTGTTGACCACTTGTTTTGAGGCAAAACTATTTAGAGAGTTTAGAGTTTACCTGGCTTAGATGTGTTCAAGGCTGGCTCGTTGTGTAACTGCACATTCTAAGCAATCTGTGTTACCTTCATTCAATAAGACTGTTAAGTGCTCATTAATGGTCTTTTGTAGGTGACCCTGTAGAGCAGAGGTCTTCAACAGGGGGTCCGTGGCCCCTAGGGGGTCTGCGAAGGTACTGCATGGGGTCCGCGAAATTTTTGGTTGATTAGACAATTTAAAAAAAAAAAAGTAATTATTTTTTGTTTCTTTAAACATGAATCTGTCCATTATTTTAATAGTTCAGTATTGTATGAAAGATAACAGGTATGTTTATGCATGGCAGTGGCACTAATAGGCCATTTTCGTTTCCACATTTATGTTTAAAACATCAGTTTGAATAGCTTGTATGCATGATTATCATGCAATTGACAGACAATGTTGATATTGGCATTGGTATCAGTTGACAAGGTATGTTTATAAATGGCAGTGGCACGGCCTCCCTACTCTCTGTACCTTGCACATGTTTAAAATAAAGACATGAATATATGAACCTGCGTATTATTTGAATAGCTTAGTATTGAATGCACAATAAAGAGGTATGTTTATATATCATACTAGGCCCAGTTTAATATAAAACACAATTTTATACAATATATATAGTCAGGGTCCATCTCTCTATCAGTTTGGGGGTCCTTGGCCTGAACAACGTTGAAGACCCCTGCTGTAGAGTGCTACAGGGAGGGCCTATCTTTGCTCAACTACATTTTTCTGTGTGGATTATTGCAGAAAATAATCTCTGTGGCATAACAAACATTCATATTACTTATAAATGTTGTTCAGCAAGATAAACAATCTTCAGAATTGACTGACATATTCCATGTTGAAGAACAAAACCACAGACAAAAAATGTAAAAACACCCATTGACTTCGAGATGTGGAAAAATGATAACCCATTTCCGGGTTTTAGTACTCATTCCTGCAGCAGGAAAGTGTTTGCTCAGGCTTCGGCCAGCCCTGCTGGATTGTGCAGAAAATAGAAGTTATATGAGGACATTTTGACAGCTCATTAAGAGGATATATTCCAAACAGACAAGCCTGCTGTCCTACGTCTGTGTCTGCAGTTTCAGAGGCTTTGTAGTCCTCAAGCTATCTATGGAGAGGCAAGCGGTGCAGCGGGCCAAGGAGGTCTTCCTGAGTGGCAGGACTCGGCCTCTGGAGTTCAGACTGCAACAGCTTCACGCCCTGAAGAGGATGATGACTGAGAAAGAGGCTGAGATCTCCTCTGCTCTCAAACAGGACATCAACAGGGTGAGTGGAGACACAGCACACCGCTGCATGTAATATTTAATGTGACAATGATAATGTGATGAGCATGCTGGATTTCCTACAGAGCCAGTACGACACACCACTCTTGGAGCTGATTGGCATTGAGAATGAGATCAAGCTGGCTTTAGAGAAACTGGCGGAGTGGGCAGCTCCACGACCGGTCGAAAGGAACCTCCTCACCATATCTGACGAGGTCTATGTGCAGCCGGAGCCTCTGGGAGTGGTGCTCATCATCGGGGCCTGGAACTACCCGTGGGCCGTCACCCTCCAGCCGCTGGTTGGAGCTATCGCTGCTGGCAAGTAAAAGTTCTGAAAGATGATTCCTTTGCGGGAGTCATTTAAAAAAAGAAAAGAGGAATCAAAAGTCATGTTCTTCATCACTTTCTTCTGCATCATAATAAGTAAATGTGTCATATACATTTGGCCAATATTACAATTCAAGTTCAGCCTTCACGCTTTGGAGGTTATTGGGAAGATATTATACATGTTTAGCATTATGTGGAGCAATTTAAGTTATTCTTGATTTATTACGTATGTGCATAGATAAATAGATTATGGCATTTTAGCCATTTTCATTCTTTTTGGAGAAATAATGTATTACATATACCCTTATTTAAAGGTGCAGTGTGTAGGATTTAGGGTTATTTAATGTCATGAATGGAATATAATATTCAAAACTATGTTTTGAATATTGTATAATCGCCTCAATCTAAGAATAGTTTGGTTTTTGTTAGCTTAGAATGTGCCCTTCATATCTACGTATGAAGCCATGTTGCACCGCTATGTTGTTACAGTAGCCCAGAATGGACAAAGCAAACCCTGGACCCAGTCAGAGACTTTTGCTTTTTAAGTCACCTGAAGGCCACCGTAGTTCTCCGACACACAGGGGGTACTTCTCAAGTCTCTTAATTGCTGCAGCGTCCAATCACATGACTGATGAACAATGAGGGGGCGTGTCGGCCGTTAAAAGACTTCCTGGAAGTCTGTTCTCGTGGTTCCTCGCTCATGGCTCCTCCGAGGTCCCTTCTCCATCCTCCATCCTCGCTCCTCCGAGCTACATTAGAGCTTTGGGACGGCCGTCAATATGGCGGCGCAGAAACAACTTCCGGTTCAAGCGAGGAGCGAGGAGCGAGGAAACGACAATTAAGAGACTTGAGAAGTACCCAGGGTAAGGAGGGGTGAGTGGAGGGGTGTTTAGTTGGTTGCAATCTGCAATCTCACTGCTAGATGTCACTAAATCCTACACACTGCTCCTTTAAGGGACAATAAAGATAACAGATAAGATAATAATAACAGTTAAATACTATAAGTTGATGTCTTTAAATATGCATGTTGGTCAAACTTGTGTTTTGCAGTAGAAGTTTGAGAAGAATTGAGAGTGAGAAAAGTCTCTCCAGTGAACTTCAGTCTGACAGCATTCTCAGTCTCACTCTACTTGTGTGCTCTCCGTCACTCAGTGATGTCATTCCACTCACAGAGACCTGTGTTCTCTCTCTACAGGCAACGCAGCCGTAGTGAAGCCGTCAGAGCTCAGCGAACACTCGTCCCTCCTCCTCCGGGCTCTGCTGCCTCGCTATCTGGACAAGGTCTGAACACCGGCTGCTATTGTTGATGGAATAATGTTCAGCGCTGCTGTAACGTCAAAGCCTTGTACCAACACAGTACATTGCATCCCAGATATGTTTGACTTTTGCCAAGTGGCCACTGTATGAGCAGGGACCCATTCTACCCGAGAGCTAACATCATCTTGAATGTGTCAGGAACGTTTCACAAAAAGGCTTTATCTTTTAGTTACCCCTTTTAGGTGACATAATTAAAGAGGAATAATACGATGAATAAAATTGCTGTTTATTTCCAGGATCTGTACCCGGTTGTAACAGGTGGAGTGTCAGAGACCCAGGAGCTGCTGAAGCAAAGGTTTGACCACGTGTTCTACACAGGAAGCAGCACCGTGGGTAAACTGGTGATGGAGGCTGCAGCTCGCCACCTCACCCCAGTGACCCTGGAGCTGGGAGGGAAGAG